ACTTGATGTAGAACTGTTGTGCCACTTGTGTTAATCACTTTCAGGTTGACACCTTTCTCTATCAAAAACTTCACAGCTGGTAAATCTAAGTTTGTAGCCGCCCACAAAAGACAATCATAAAAATTAATTTCACATCCCAACTCCATTAATAACTTAATAATTTCAAAGTCTAAGTAAAGACACATAGCTGTGTCTATTAATGTTCCATCGTAGTGGGTAATAATAGAAAAACTACACCCAGCTTCTTTTAGTATTCGCAGACAAGCGAATTTCTTACTGATTGTGACTGGTGTTTCATTATCAAAAAGACAGTGACAGACAGCAGTCAAACCATTTTGATCTCTGAAGTCTAAGGATGTACGATACTTTGCCATATATCTTGCATAGAAATTTGGGTGATCGTTAAAAGCATACCGATCATATACATTGTCAATATCACTGTCAGAAAAATCATCTTCATCCTCCATCTCATCATCATCCATTTCCTTGCTGACATTGTTCTGATTTGAATCTAATAATAAATCTTCTTTTGGTACATTTAAATAACCAAATTTCAAAATTTCTCTCAAGCAATCCTCCTCGCAGAGATTTGCAGCCACCATAAGCGGAGTTCTATCATTATGGAGTCCGTACAACTGAGAACCCGCATTTATCAATAATCGTAAGCATTCAAGTCTATCACCTTTCTTAACGTTATCTCCAGATCTCAAACAATGAACTATGGGCGTATTGTTGTCAATGTCTTTCATGTCTACCTCTGCACCCGATTTCAATAACAAATCGACACATTCAGCGTTGCCTGCTCCTGCTTCCTTCCCGAGTATCGATGGATTTTGTAACTCGGCATTTAAAATTGTGGGTTTTCATCGATAATCTTTTTGATTTCTTCCAACCTTGAAGTGGCCATTTCGTGCTAAATCGTGCTAATAACACACTTAAATGAACAGTTAACACATCTTGAAGTCACAAAAAAAGAAATGTGCTTAAAACTTGATAACCAGAGTAACCTCGTTCTGGTGGTTAGATCTATTTGATAAGGCCAACTTTAAGTTTGGTGAAAGGTCACGAGATGTGAACAGTGCTACAGCGCGTACCCTAATCCTAACCTCCAATCTAGCCAACAATCAAGTGCCCCAACCTTATTTATATCTCAGCGACCTTGACGAAAATTGAGTTGGCCTTAAGAAATAGATTTTTAGCCGGTTATGGTCGAAGAAAATACCGAGCCGGTGAAATATTAGCGAAACGAAATGGTAACAAACTCGGTATCGATGTAAAATTTTTATGAATGAAAGGTTTTGACTGGGAGTACAATAGTAATAATGTTTTTAAAATTTGTGCCATGATTAAGTCTATATAAACAAAACCGCAAAGAAATAATTTTGATTGAAAAAAGCCTTTGAAATTGCCACACTCATTTATACATTATGTACGTATGGCCATGTCGCAAGCCTACTGGTTTTGAAAAATACATTCACAGCGCTGTATCATAAGGTCTGCCATTGAGTCAAGTGAAATGGTTTCGATTTCCCGGTTGTAAAGTGACAAGGAGTAGGGTCGCCTGTCCAACCTCCAGCTTTTTCGCCGGGGTTTCCCCCCATTGCTAAAGACCCCTACGAGCAAGCGAATTATTGAAATAAAATTGAACCATATGGAATGAGCATGCAAGGGAGGTCCGGGGGCCCTCCCCCGAAATTTTTTAAAATTAGAAGCCGGGAAACGCCATTTCGATGGATTAGATACAATAAAGTTATGATTGAAAAATGGTCGTTTTTTGTAGTGATAATTGTAATTATCACTCGAAAATTGAATTATATTTTATTCATCTCAACTTCGATTTAAATATTGAATGGACATTTCGAACAACTTCATGCAAAACCCCATTCCTTCCTCCACCCCAACCTCTGGCAGGGTTATGGTCAAATACGTATTTAGATGTATTTGTATTTTAATAAAAAAATACTTTCAGTCTTTATTTTTGACACCCGTATATGGATATTTTATCAAATACAACCTACGGTACAATCATAAATAGGGATTTTCTAGCTAGGCCCTACAGCAAACTAGATTTTTTTTTATCAGAGTGTGTTTAACTGAGGTATTTAGATTTGTTGTAGGCTATTTGATCAATGGTAATCGGAAAAATTTGTGTTGTATTTGTAATTGGAAAGCTAATGAAATGTATATGACCCCAACATTGCCCCCTGCATATCCAATTGTTTCTGCATTTCTGGAGGATTGACAAAAGTCTGGGTTATTTTTATATATTAATTTAAGTCTTTATTTGGGCCTCAGGTGTCATAGGAATTATAAATTAGGTCTTTATTTACACAACAAGCACAAAATCAACTCTGTAGGCCCACGGATGGCTTGGATTCGGCTTGGATTTAAACAGGATTTCATTGATTGATTAAATTTTTAAATGGCGTCGTGAGCGGAGATTAACCGTTACGTTGACGTCATACTCCCGGAAATTTTAGATCGAGGCTAAATGATAAGAGTGTACGAAGCGAGGCCGCTGTTGAGCGAAGCCTTAACAAATGACATCTAAACTAAAGTGCAATAAACTAAACACAGATAATGACAAATTATACAATTCCTGGAGACCGTGTGATGACTAAAACAGACGGACAGGTCTTCTGTCTTAATAATATCAATAAAAATATTTTTTATTTCCCTGAGAATTGGGGGGGGGGGGAGTTGATTATGGTCTGGATAAGTTAATTAATGTCTAATTAATAATTTAGATAAGATTTCAGGCCTAAAGAAAGACCTGCGATAGGCAGATTTAGCTCTTGCATAATGCATGTTTAAGTAACCTAAGAAAAAAATGATTGTCTATCCCGGCTTCTAAACCGAGGCGGCTAATGGTACGTCTCTAGGAACGCCGTATACGGTGATGTAAGGAAACTTAATTGCGCACTTTCTTATAACGAGGATACGTCATAGACTGACCCCCGGGAAATTAGCCAGGCACTTCCTTTACTCGATTGGTCACCTTCACAGAAGCTACCCTGGATTAAAACACAATGTTCTAATATGGGCACTGAGGAGGACGGGCCAGCTGATGATGTTTGTTAATTGCGCACTTTCTTATAACGAGGATACGTCATAGACTGACCCCCGGGAAATTAGCCAGGCACTTCCTTTACTCGATTGGTCACCTTCACAGAAGCTACCCTGGATTAAAACACAATGTTCTAATATGGGCACTGAGGAGGACGGGCCAGCTGATGATGTTTGTTAAAACCATGACTATGACGTTATTGACCAAATTTATTTACAGGGTACCTTGTAATTAGCTGAAATCTATCTCGAATTCAGACAGACCTCCCACACACGTGAAGGCAGCGAAAACTCCATAGTGTCACATCTCTTATTTGACTGTCGTGACTCAGGATACGTGTCACCATAATGTGACATCTCTTTTTTTGCTGCCGTTGACATTATTCTAACTATGTATATCAATTTAGTATTACTATACCAAGTTTCACCCCATGGCAATATATAGGCAATGAACCCCAACAGACTTGACAACCTTCATGATAACAATGGTTATCTATGTCGTTTATTATCTGTATTAATTCACACAAATATCATTTGTCCATGTTCTGATGATCAGGTGTTATTGGTAAAAAAATAAATAAAACGAAACCACTTAAATTTATCATAGCTGGTCAAAGTAGGTACTTCAAGTAATCAAGAGTTATCAATATCGTAGATGATCTATTTCAGGACACGATTATTTAGAATTTAAAGACACATTTTAATTCAAGTTGATATTAGAACACGTATGTCGCTAAACTACAGATGAATGAACTACCTACGATTTTTTATAGACTGTTACAAAGTTTTGCTTCATAACATTAATTGAGGGACCACGGTGACTACGCGAGTAAGGCACTGGTTCACTAAACAGAGTATACGTTGTTCGATCCCGGTGTTGACCGATAAATTTCCCCAGAAATTTACAGCGTGATTCCCTCTGATCAGTGATGTAGGACGGGGTGCCTAGTAAAGATCAGTGTCTATAGGCGAAACACCAATACCGAGTGTAGTGTGCACGTAATAAAAAGTCGACAGATGGAATTTCAAATAAGAGTAGGCTGTAGTCTCGCTGTCCTAGTAAAATTTACCCCTTAGCACACCGCATGGTATAACGCGTGATCATTTTTCAGCTAGGTTCAGTAAAGCCGGACGTTAAATCCAATTTCATTTCACATTTTGAATATTGCGTTTGCAATATTTTCTGATGCATTGTTTTGATACGATTGACTGTCGACAAAATGACATAGATGGCCAGTGTCAAAATATTTGGTTCAATATTATTTCAAAATACTAGGTTTGTTTTGTTATTATTATTATTTTGTAGGTAATTTATTTAGTTTCTGTTTTCCTGATTTTTTTTATCGCTAAACAAGAAGAAAAATAGACTCGAGTGTTATTGCAAAAGAAGTCATCTTTTTCTAATTTTAGTGAACGAATGAATCAAGAATATTATAAGAGAGATAAGAAACGTATTTAAAGTCCATCATTTATGCGTTATCACGATCGAAGCATAGCAATGGATTTTGCATGCTCTTGAGATAAAGTACAGGAAACAGCATTATCTTCAACAATTTATCTTGAGAGAAGTTCATGACAAAGATTAATTATAACCCAAGCTTTTCTTGGTTGGGTGTTATGATCACCCGTTGACCGTTGTTTGGCCTATGGATGAATTAATATTAGGGTGAATGTATGTGACCGTTATATATTTACCGAATTGTTAATGATCATTAGCACGGGCCAGCTTGTACCTATACTGTTTTATTACAATCTTCCACTTTGAATTTTCTTGGGTTTAATGACCGTTATCGTTATCGGTATATGATATATGTTATGATGAAACATAATACAACAAAACAAATAACTACTCCACTTTTTCTCTAGACCAATGAAGATCAGTGTTGTTGTCATCGGTTTTAGATTTAAACTCTGTGTTTTTTTAAAAGTGTGTTGTTGACTAGCAGTTTTGGAGTGGGTTCGTTTAAAAACTACCGCTCATTTACACTATATTTCTTGGTCGTGGATTAGACAGATATTCGTATATAGACTGGAACTAAATAATGTAGGTAAAATAGGTGCACAGATAATGGTTAATAGTACGGCGGGGTACAAAAAGGGTATAAGATATAAAGCTTTGATGATTAAATGTATATAAATGTTGTAATAAGACTATCATGGTTTGTATATTTCTGTTTCGGCTTAGCCATGAATTATTGTAGCTTTAAAAATTTGTATGTTTTCTATATATTTGAGGAATTGTTAAATGTTATGATTTATTTACAGCTTTAAATCAAGTTATATTTGAATTTGTTGGAGAACGGATTTCACCGAAGGCTAAAAGGGATTCAGATCTGGTTTTGTGAAGATGGAGCGCCAGTATAGTATTCACACGGGCCAGAAGAACTCTTTTAGTATGGTGGATTATTTTATATTTGGCGGTACCTTACTAGTATCGTCAGTGATTGGAATATACTATGCAATCAAAGACAGGAAGAAAAAGAGTATTAAAGATTTCTTATTGGCGGGAGGTGAGATGCATGTGGTACCTGTAGCTCTTTCTCTGTTGGCAAGTTTCATGTCAGCCATTACTTTATTGGGAACTCCAGCTGAGATATATAACTATACGACTATGTATTTATGGATAGCTTTGGGTTATGTTTTAACAATGGCATCTGCTGCACATATTTATATACCTATATTCTACAATCTGAAGTTAACCAGTTGTTATGAGGTTGGTATAAAATGATTTAGTTTTTTAAGACCTATTATAATATTCTGAAAGCATCTTTATGCCTTTGTGGGCAGACAGTGATTAAGTAGTGGATAAAGTAATTCCCAATGACAAGGATACTGGAAACCTTATTTAGTATTTTTTCTACCGATCCTTGGTATTAGTTAGTATTTAGGGAACTCATAGTCGTCGTGTTACGCCAGTCATACTTTACAAAACAAAACATATATCATTCGAAGTGTCAACTGTGACCCGTTAATACATGTAGGTGTTTTCTTTTTTTAAGCGATTCAAGATTCATATCGTACGACCAAGTGGTTTCTTGAGGATGAGTGAAGGGATCCTTTGCTAATCACCAACCAGAACCACAACTGTTTTTATTTTTGTCTAAACCGTGCAAACTATTGCAAAAAGTGACCGACAATGAATGATGTTTTATAGATATACATACGTCTTAACACATGACACAATTATATGAAATACAAGTTACTTATTATTTTAGCGTTTTCCGAGATTCTATCCGGATTATCGTCCTTATTGTTAAAATTGTTTGACGTTCTAACTCATGACGTCAACTGGCAGACTATCGCCATTTTTTTAATTGTCTGTTTGTGTTTTCCTGAGTATGATGTCTTGTCCGTGTAAATTTTGTGTGGTGCAGTCCCCCTGCACTTACTATTAGAAGTCTATTTCTGGCGAAATTTCGACGAGGGTTCGAACTTCTTCAATCAAGTGTCATATTTTATTCTCATTCATTTGCTAAATGCCGCTTACACAGTTTATACATGTTCTAAACATCATATTCATATATACAAAATAATGGACAATTGTAATTTTGACAAATCCGCGTAATACCGACAAGATGGGAGGTGGGTGGGTATAGCTTATACTGGATAAACTATTTATAAAACTCACAGACAAGAATACACGATGTTATATCCAATATAAAGCATTCAGTTCAATTGAATGAAAATTAAAGATGTGCGCATTGTAAAAGCTAATTGATGTCTTTACAGACCGTCTCTTTTCGCCAATGACCATGATACAATCACAAACAAGGATCAAAATACCAACTGAACTTACCGACACCAGACCATACAAAAATAGATCTATATACGCTGCCTATCATATACAAAATGGTTACGTTTTGATAAATGTTTATAGATATATTTTAAAATTAAACTGCTTGCACTATGAAATTTATGCACCATCTTGAATCAATCAATTTTGTATAATGGGTTAATCTGACAATTTGTTGTTATTTATTACATTTTTGTGTACTTGAGTAATTATTGCCAATACCGGGCGAGTGGAGGTGTGGGTCCAAAGTGGGACCTCCACATTTTTGGTTGAGTACAAGATCAAAAGTTCCGTTGGATGACTGAGATGAAATACGTAGGTGCATTAAAGGACCTAACAATATCCATTTAATTTCTATTTATTAACATGAATTCGTATTGTGCTCTTTATTTCAGTATTTAGAATTGAGATTCAGTAAATGTGTTCGGATGATAGGCACATTAGTGTTTATTACACAGATGGTAAGTGTTGATTATAAACTTGTTATCTAAAGATGTGAATAGTTGCAACTGTCCTTTCATAACAAATATCCAAGGCTTTGAGTGAACTTTAAAAGAAGTCAGCAACTCTTCCTAGCCGATCATTAGTCCCTGTGGGGGCGAATTGGACAAATTGACTACTCTACGGGTCATATCGCTTGATCAATTCATACTTCATACATCTCACGAAACATTGTTAAGTAAACATTTAACTATATGGAAGCCTATAACTACCATTCATAATTTCTACTTTTCGCCCCTTCAAAACACAAAAGACGAGAAGTAGAAGTTACGACAAAATGTGAGGCGACGGCACGCTATACAAGCCAAAATCGACTCGAAAATAGGAAATTAAGAAATAATACACTGCGATAATAGCGCCCCTCGTTTTTTCCTAATTTCTTATTTTCGAATTGCATTTTGGCTTGTGTACCGTCTTGTACGACAGCAAGCTAAAATGATAAGTCGCTAATAGCGCGTGTGTTTATTTCCTAATTTCTACTTTTCGAGTTGCATTATGGCTTGGTATGCGTGTTGTCGCCTTCTTACTGACAAAATACAAAAATATGACTAAGTCGAAAGTCGACAAGACGGTACACAAGCCAAAATGGAATTCGTAAATAAGAAATTAGGAAAAAACGAGGGACGCAATTATCGCGGTGTAATAGTTCTTAATTTCCTATTTTCGAGTCGATTTTGGCTTGTATAGCGTGCTGTCGTCTCACATTTTGTCGTAACTTCTACTTTTCGACTTTCGTGTTTTGAAGGGGCGAAAAGTAGAAATTACGAGTGGTAGTTATATCTAGGCTTCTATATTTAACAAAGATTATCGCCGAAACATCTCTTGGATTGTAGATTTGTCCAACCTTTCTACGTTCCCCACAACACCGTGATGTTAAAAGCTAACTGCTAGATTTAATTCGAAAAATATATGAATGCTTTTTCTAATGAGTTTCTGAAACTTTACAATAGAAGAGACCGATTTTAGTTCCGTTCACATTGAATATGATAACGTGCAAACTATTATTTTGTGTACATTTAATTTAATATGTATATGACATTTTTATTATCTAATAATGCCATTAAGTTTTGATAACGTAGTGGATTTATATGAAATCTAAAGTGATCATGGAAGACTCTCCATTCAGAAATAGCCTTATTTTATGGGTTAAGTGGTAAATTTTCTAAAATATAAATAAGAAGTGATGTGCATTAAGATACACATATTGGTACACAACTTCTAGGTTAAGAGTTAGAATTATGTCGTAAATGCCACTCCATATGAGTGTACGAGTGGTTTGATGTAAATAAAATGTAATGCATTGACGTAAGCATATTAGTATACGCGTCGCTAGGTTAAGACGTAGAATTGTGTTGTAAATCTCGATCCATATGAGTGTCCGAATGGATTAATGTAAATAAGTATATAGTTATGCATTGAAATGAGCGTATACGTAGCTCCCTGTATGCTACACACATTACTAGGTTAAGGAGTAGAATTATGTCGTAAATTCTGCTCCATATAAGGGACTTAACGCATGCAGGTTAAATATAAGATCTTTCCACTATTAGTCCTTGGCTTTGGATGGCATACTTCTGAAAATGAGTATAGGGTCACCCAGGTGCGGACTTAAGGGGGGGGGGGCGAAAGACAAAGTAAGCACCCTAAGCAACAGCTCCCCTGCCCCCCCCCCACACACACCTCCTCTCAGGTTCAGGTCAGTATATTACATATTATACGTCGCTCGCAACCATTATGCATCTATGCTATCATTCTTCCACTCCGTTGTGGTCTTATACTATCTCATTAATATCATATTCACGGTTAGTAAACCACCCAGTTAGTAATAGTACCACTAGAGCAGACTATACAAATGTTCTGATCCTCTCGAGACAAGAATTTGTCCCCATCAATGAACTCAAATGCCAGGATATTGACTAAAATTTTCAGGCCCAGTCCTAATAAATTAAAAGTTCAATCACATATCATACGTCGCTATCTGATTTTTTTTTTCGCCTACAACGCTCGATTCCTCCATTATATCATTAAAAATAATAGCAAAACAGAAGTTTTTGTCTGTTTCATATATGTTCTGATGGGGATTGCATTCGCTTTCCATGAAGGGGTTCAGAAGCTCTCTGTATTGATATACATGTACAACCGACAAAAATACGATCTGTCTAAACAACTTGCTCATTTGTGAGCGACATTTTGCATTAAAATAATTAATTGATAAATCGCATTTATTAAAAACGCCTTTTATCTTTTTTAGACAATATACTTGGGAATTGTTTTGTATGGACCATCAATGGCTATAAATGCAGGTACGTTTTCACAGATTATAATATGATCAAGGGTTTGTCTATGGGTCGAGATTGACCAGTAATCCGCTCTCCCACGTCCTTTTTAATCCACACAGATGTTAAGAATACTTATAACGAAACGAATTATGTATGCAAACGTCGCTCCACTATCCAACATACAGGAAATGTGCCCTGTTTAAGCCCCCCCCCCCCACACACACACACACTTCACAAAACAATTTAGTCAGCAAACCTGTCACGGTTAAGGACATATTTTGCAACTAAAAAGGTAAAGTCCCAAGCCAAGCCTGGTTCAGATTTAAAACGCGATATAGCACCTAAATAGGTACATATTGACTCGCTCCACGGCCCATAATGCAAGAAATGTGCCCTATTTAAGTTGACCTGAAACGTGTCACGGTTAAGGACATATATTGCAACTAAAAAAAGTTAAAGTACCAAGCCAAAACTGGTTCAAATTTAAAACGCGACCTGGCACCTTAATTGCGGTACACATTGAATCTACTTGTAAAAATACACTGGGTACAAAATCTTATGTATTCATCCAGTAAACAAATGACTGTAAACGCTTCGGTTGATTTGTTTCTTCGAATTATATCTTTTGTAACAGAAGACAAAAGAAGAGGTTTTAACCTTGGCCATAGTATATATTATTGTCTTTTCTAAATACGAGATTAGACAATTATTTCTTTTTCAATTATCTAAATCTCTTTGATCTCTCTTTTACGTATATCAAAACTCTGTTGAATTGATGATTGTATTAAATATTTTAGTAACTGGTCTGTCTCTATGGGGAGCTATCTGCACCGTGGGAATAGTTTGTATCTTTTATACGACTTTGGTTAGTATTGTAAAATACGTTCTTACTTACTATATATAAGACTAATAGAAGGTATTGTATATTTCTTTGAATGTGAATTCTAACGTGAGGGTACGGGTGGTATTCGAAACGGCAGTATGTTCTAACATCCCAATCGATATTTCACCGATATATCAGCTGATCTTTCCCTGTCCCTTCGTAATTGGGGGATCACGTGGCTGAGTGGGTAAGACGCTGACTCGCTAGCCTGGAGGTCGGGTGTTCGATCCTTGCATTGGCCGAGAAAGTTCATCCAGATTTTCCGCGTGCTTCCCCCTTGTCAGTGATGCAGGACGGAGGGCCAGACAAGGACAGCTGTCTAGTCCTTCGGATGAGACGAAAAACCGAGGTCCTGTCTATACATCGGAATGTACGTAAAAGATCCCTTGGCAGATGGAATTCGATATAAGAGTAGGCGATAGTGCCGCTGCCCGGGCAAAATTTCCCTCATAGCACACTGTATGGCGTATGCCCGTCTTCATTAGCCCAGCATAGGAGCAGAAGAGTAGGACGTTAAACCTCATTTCATTTCATTTCATATCCCTTCGTAATTGATTACCCAATATGTTCTGTCGTTTAGGACAATATGTGGTCTACTATAGCATGGTTTACAATTCCCACAACAACACAATCTTCTAGATGTAATTTAAGAAATTGCTTTATAATCCGTCAATATTTCTTGGAAGACAGCACAGAATTATTGAAGTGGGCCCATGGAAGAACTTATTAAGGTCACCAAGAAGTACAATTGCGTCAATATTTCCTTTGACCATCCAGCAGTATGGTCAAGGTTAGTTAGAACAAGATTTGGTCAATCCGGAGAGTTTGCTTAGTCATGTTTTGGATAGGGTAAGACTTGGGTTTGTTCCCATTATTGGTAGTGACTTGACATATTCTTTATAACAGGGTGGCATGAAAGCTGTGTTATGGACAGATGCATTTCAAGTTGTAATGATGGGAATGGGTTTACTGGCAGTAATGATACAAGGTTCAATAGAAATTGGAGGTTTATCAAAAGCTTGGGAAATCGCTGCACAGAATCAACGAGTTGTTTATGATGAGTAAGAAAGTTATATATTGATTAATTCATAATATATTCATGACATTTAAGGATAATGTTCCCTTAAGATTTGTTTAATTATTCTGTTTAATTTACTGTACTGAATACAAGACGTTTTGCTAAGAATTGATTTAGCAGCACTAGCAACGTTTTAAAGAGAACTGAATAATAAATAGTATTGAAGGAACTCCCTGTAACATCTTTCAAACAGCCTTCACAAACAGTTAAACGGAAAAATATATCTATAGGAAAGCTCGTCTAAAACAATACTATGGCGTATTTTACTTTCCAGTTTTAGTGTTTCCCCAGCAACAAGACATAGTTTCTGGTCTCTCGTGATTGGTGGAGCCTTTCTCTGGACGTCTGTATATGGAACGAATCAAGCCCAGGTTCAAAGAACGCTGGCTTGTCCAACAGTTAGACATGCTCAAATGTTAGTAAAAATGTTTCTTTCAATGATACCCTGATACCCAAAAGACACGTTCCCTACAAATTTAATGCTTACATTCATCTAAACGCCTATTTTTATGAAATAATTTCAATGTACACTAATTTTGCACTGTATTCATTTCTCATTTAAAGATACATTAGCCAAGAACTAAATCTGCCTATTACAGGTCATTTTGGTCTTAAATGTTACATTCATTAAGAAAAGTTTAAGACCACCCGCTCCTGGACACCAATATTGTTGATATTCTGCCGTGTTCCCGTTATATTGGCATACTATTCATACTAGTGCCATGGCTGGGATACCGGGAGGTCTCGTGGTGATAACCAGTTATGACGTCATTTCTTTAGGTCATCGGATGACTCCGATTTTAAGTAGATTAGAACGGTTCGGCCATTTAATGATTTAATTTAAAAATGGGGAAGCGAGGCTAAGTTACGAATATACCCGTACCGTGGTTAAGATAATAAACAATCAATGCACACATCTTGTCAAAACTACAAACAATGATAACTTAGCTCAGAATAAAGTACATTTTTGAACTATAATAGCTCTTTATCTAAATTTTACATAATGTATCTTTAAATCACTATTTACTAATAGGATCTATACTGTGTCCTATCAACCATAAATTTGTGAAAGTAAAAATTACAGATGAAAGCAAGCGAATCGCGTAATTCGTTGTATAAAACACTCCTTTGTTAGAAATATTCAAGAAGAAAAGAGGGTAGTAATTAAAATATAAGCCGGATCACTCAATTGAAAAGAAATGTATTCCTTCGGGAATGAATACCCGGTCTACCCCAAGATGTATAAGGGATTTGGAAAAGACAAAGGCCGCCTTGTCTACGATATCACCCTTGGTGGAAATGGACGTAAAACTCCAGGAACGAATGAACAAACGAACAAAGACCGCGTCTCCTAAGACTTGTAACCCTTCCCATGTATGGCTCTTTTAGAAACCAAATCAGTCATTAATGACGTCAATAACCACTAGATCACAGAGATACTGTTCTTGAATTTGTATTCACTAAATTCTTTGAAATAAGGCTTTTTTTATTTTTTCATTGTTTGGAAGGAGACCAAACAGATGAATTCGTCAACAATCGAGATGCCTTAATTTATTCCGGTCGTGCTAAAACTCGCTGAACACTACATTTAGTTTAGACACCTCTATAAAAACTACCTACCAATAGGATAAATTTGATCAACCTCGTAATATTAGTAAGTTTAGGAATGTTAAATAAGGAACAAAAATATTGACTATTATAAACAACTGTTAGCTTTATTTACCGTCTCTTGTTTGGTGATTGTAATCATGTCCTGATGGTTTTACTTTACTTACTATCTGGGAGCCGCGGTGGCTCAGTGAGTAAGACACTGGCTTGCTAACCTGGGCGGTCCCGTGTTTGACCCCGTTATTAGCCGAGAAGGTTTATCGGGAATTTCGTTTGTGGTTCCACCTTGTCGGATATAACGAAAAACCGAGGTCCCGTGTACACATTTGCGTGTACGTAATAGAACCCTTGACAGCCGGAATTCTAGATAAGAGTAGGTCGTAGCAAAATATCCCCCATAAAACTGTATTATGACGTATGCCCAGTGGGTCCATTTCATTTCATTTCATGCCTACTATCTTCGGACGTGTGATACATATCGTGTCCAGCTGTGTCTGGTGTTACTGATGGTATATGGTGATACAATTATCTAACGACATTTACCAACTTTTCAATAATATTCTCACTTCGGATGCCTTTCATTCCCCGTTTCAGACTTTATACTTTCTCTCTCCTCTATTCACAAGTCCAGGTTCGCATACTATGAACATCAGATAATCGTTTCGCTAATTATATGTACTACCTTCTGTATATTAAACATACATTATGCAAGAGCTAAATCTGCCTATTGCAGGTCTTTCTTTAGGCCTGAAATGTTATCTAAATTATTAATTAGACATTGTCAAAGCTTGCCTGTGATATTTATTAGATTAGGATCCGATTTGCTGCTCAACTTTCATTCATGATTTAATCATAAAATGGATAATCGAGACTATGTTTTTTATCGTACCGACTTTAGTAATGATGATTGAGGCTAGGCCGAAAATTCAGTCGATAAAATCTCGGTTCAGAGTGGTTCAATTTGGCTGACATTTTCAGCAATTTCCCTTTACATTATCTAGCTTTTAACTATTGTAGTCGGAACTGGCAGCTCTTTATCTAATCTCCCATAATGTATCTTTAAGTCGCAGTATTACCTTTTTTCTTCTATTAGCTCTTTATCTAATATCCCATAATGTATCTTTAACTCAATTGTACTATATTTTGATTAATCGAGAGGAAACATTTCTTTCTTTGTAAATTACACCCGTATATAATTTATGATTATAATTAAACAGTATTTATATTTCTGTAAATAATTTCTTACTGGAGATGATCACATAATTAAGTACTGTAACTCTATAATATGTAAATATTTATTGAATAAATTTAGAAAAAATACCTGGGAAAAACAAAAGTATAATAAGAAATTGACTTGTAATTAATTATTAGAGCCAATTCAAATCCACCGGTTATGTCTTAGTTAATGTATTATTTGTTCTTTTCAGGGCTATATGGTTAAATGCTCCAGGTCTTATGATAATTCTTGTACTATCATCACTAATTGGTATTGTCATGTATGCCTTCTATGCTACATGTGATCCTATCAAATTTGGCCTTGTATTTGCTTCAGATCAGGTATTATCCAAATATCCATGGGTATTTTAAAAATAAAGACTTATGGAATAACAGCTACTTATTTATTTGGGCGACGTTTCGAAGAGTATCAAGCTAATACAGTAATACAAATATTATGAGGCTAATTTATACAGAAAAACTATAACAACAATTCTTGAAACCACACAGGACAACAACAAGATCAAAGGAGGGGATATTCTACTTAACTGGGTTAATTAAATGGCTTCACTTCACTATAGTGGGAGACTTAAACGTACAGCAGACTGCGATTAACAAGCGGAAAACAGTTGGTAGAAGACAACCCAAGAATTTACTTAGACTTATGTAAACGGACAGCAAATAACGACAAATACAGCGAATCACGTGCCAAACAAGACTGCTTAAATAAAGTTTTACGGCTTGGTTAGTTCCTGGGGATTAAAATATAATATTTTTACAGGGATTTTTGAAGCAAACTTTTGATAGATCAATAATTTTGAATATGTTTTTAGAATACCAAATATATCACTATGTCGAACATCTGTACACGGGAAGGTATCTTTAATTGATTACTATTATTGAAACAAAAAATAAGGAACAAATTTTAAATAATTTGGCTTACGCGATAAAATGAAACAACCGCGTTGTACGAAACATTCATACAAAATAACATATTTATATAAAATTATGATCAAATTATGAGTAAATTTGGCAATGAAATAAAATCGTTATGGTATTTTACTCTTGTGATGAAATACGTTTCATATATGGTCCGAAATATTTGCATAAAATGAAGCTGCTTAAACATGTTCTATGAGATCATCTATGTTAACTGAGGAGGTAAGGACATGTTTAATCTTTTATGTTTCAGTTATTCCCGTTATTTGTTATGGATATACTTGGTCATATTCCTGGCATACCTGGCCTGTTTATAGCTTGTATATTTTCTGGTTCTCTCAGGTATACTATACAAGCTTCTGAAAGCCAATAAATATCGATTAGCTTTGTCAATAAAAAAACTAAAACACACTTAAAAGCTAATGAAGAAAAGGCTTTTATTGTCATGCATCATATCTTGTAGAAGTGTGTGTAAAAGATAGTGTTAATGGGTACTGGTTGACCTAGGTCTTTTGTCTCATCCAAACGACTAGAAACCGTTCCTCATCCTGCACCTCTGACAAGGGGAAATCAGACTGAAATATTTCGATAATTTATAGGACAACACCGAGATCGATATTATAATAAGCACAATAATTTCTCCATCAGTCACTGCTTCACGATGAGAGGTTTAGTATCTTAACGGCATGCGCTGTTTAAATTGGGAATTTTTTCCAAACACCCTCCACCAAATAAATGTATAACTGAGTTTGTTGATCCATCTTTCAGTTCGATATCTTCAGGACTGAATTCTTTAGCAGCGGTCGTCTTACAAGATATATTAAAACCATGGTGTCTTAAGGGTATATCAGAGAAAAGAGCAACGATGTACTCTAAAATAATAGGTATGTAAATATACTCTTTGGGATAGAATCAGAATCGATTGTGATGCAGTATTGTAATAAACTTTCAACACCTTAACGCATAATTAAGTGAAATTTAATCCAGTGATAGGTCTAAATAAAAACATCCATAGTTTTTCAATATACTTAATTTTTTATGAAAGTAGAACAATGCCATTTTTTTCACATATTGTTCTCTGATATTTGTCTTGGTCTATAAGACATTTTACATCGATTTTCAGCATTGGTATTTGGAATAGTATGTCTTGGTTTAACCTGGGTAGCGTCTCAATTAGGAGGTATATTACAGGTGAAGTGACCCCAAATCTACCAATAAGCTAATAAAGTAATAAAACTGTAACACTAATTATGAAAAAAAAGTAATGGAACAGTAACAAAATTAATTCTTTGCGCATAAATTAGTAATTGTTATAGTTTTTTTAATCCATCCAGTTCTAAGTTATTAAAGAAATGAAACAGGGTATTGAAGAAACCATATATTTAATATATTCAAACATTATATCATTTATAGTATTAGCGTTTCTCAAGCATGGCTCACTTCTTGTTACTCTTGTTTTGTATTTGCAGGCAGCCCTGTCATTATTTGGAATGCTTGGTGCGCCAATGCTGGGTGTTTTTACGCTTGGAATTTTATTTCCATGGGCCAACTGGAAGGTGGGTTTATTTGTTTTCTTTACAACCTTTTGTGTACTTATGATAGATCAAGCTAGTCATATTTTGAACACTTCTAGTCGTATATTGTGCTATGGATGCTGTTTTCTTAAATTATTGGAATTCAATTTAATTATGTTAGAAGTTCACTCAGCTTTACAACCAGTTTGTTTTGTAACATAACTTTGAGAGCGTACAACTGCAAGCTAATGCTTATGATCCTTTTACAAAATCAAAAGATTAACATGTACAGAACCACTGAATGGAATGCATTTAATTTGTTTATGATGACTTTGATCATACATAACCTGATTTGACATCCAAAAACAAACTTAAGCGGTTAACGACCAACAAGAGTTATTTAATCCCCGCATCTCCATAGAGGATCCAGTTTTAAGCTTTCTTGGCATTGACATGATAATACAATAAATAAAACGAGGGGTGGGGGGGGGGGGGTCAACGTAAGATCCTCAGCTGCCTTTCTCTCTGCAATGTAACATGGTTGAATAACATTATAATGCGATTATCCAACACTGCCATCAAATGAAAAAAAAATTCTGTTAATACTTCATCTTTTAAAACCCACATCTATTTTGAAGCAGCCTTGTCAGTCGTGTGGTGGTTTGTGTGGTAGATAATTGTGCAGGGTGGTGATTTCTTTCCAGGGTGCTGTAGTAGGATTGTTAAGCAGTATCATTATTATGTTTTGGATTGGCATTGGTTCATTTTTAGCCAAATTACCAACCAATAGAAGTCCAGTTAGTGTTGAAGGGTGTAATTGGACTTTAGTTCATAGAGAGGAACCTATTAATAATATAACTATATCTCCTATATATAACACAACTGTAGAACCACCTGAACTGTAAGTATTATAATAATATATATGTACAAATAAAACCGTGGATTTGATTACATAGGGTAGTTTCAGTAAGTAAGGCTTCGGGGCCCTTATTCACGAAAACTTAAACTAAGATACAATCGAAATTTTAAGAAATACTGCAATTCGATTGGCTGACCAGTAAAATCAATTTGCATATATCCAATGAAGTTGCAGTATTTCTTAAAATTTCGGTTGTAACTTAGTTTAAGTTTTCGTGAATAAGGGCCCTGGTTCGCTAATGGCTATAGCCGGGCAATTTCAACAAAGAACAGTACCTAGACGTTCGAATGGTTATAAAAACTTGGGCGTGTATCTATAAAAGAACCTTTGACAGTTAGCATTCAAATTAAGAGTAGGCCGCAATGATGCAGTCTTGTCTGCGATATAACTTCTGTGGAAGCGGACGTTAAAATACCAGGTAGTAGAATGATGCAGCCCGTGCAAAATTTCCCTCCTAGCACAAGGTGTGACATATGCTCGTCTTTATTGGCCCTGTTGGTGCATAAAAATAAGACATTAAAACTCATTTCACTTTTTTTTCATTTACGTAGGGTTCCTGTGCCATGTTTCATAAAGCACACGTAAACCTTCTGATCATATAGATTAGATGTACATGCATGATTTAATGGTTGCTGAAATTATACAAGCTTCCGCGGATAAAAGATTTTAATGTTTTACCTTTCGTTTGCTTGGCTTTGTTCTATACTCATTATCCGTTGGGTTTAGTTCACAAACTTAGCAATTTTATTTTTGTAATGTAATTTCTTTCGTCTTCAGCAAATAAATTTGTAAATATTATTGTATACTTCAAGTGGGACATATACATTCTTTTTGAATTGTAACATAAATTGGTTTACGTGAAATGGTTTATTTTTGTTTTATTTTCAGTCCAATGTTTGTAGGTTTATATAGTATATCGTATTTGTGGTATAGTGCAATAGCTGTATTTATTGTAGTATTTATAGGTCTTATTGTTAGTTTTATAACAGGTAAGTTTAACAGAAATATTTGTATATACAGGACTAGCACAAATCCCTGAATCTGGTAGTGGGTGGGTAAGATCTTGCATTGGTTCAAGTGTTTCGATCCCAAGCCTGTACGTAAGAAGGGTGGTGGTCGACTGCCCATTTACCCCTACGCGCATGCGAAATATTGGTATAAAATTGTATGTGTTAGTCCCGAAATGAGCTGGTTTGTGTCGAGCTGGCGTTAAACCACATTTCTCTCTTCCTCCTTGAATGTCGAACCCCATCTCCCCCCCCCCCACCACAAGAAAAAAATACATATTCTGAAATATTTTTAAGGTAACATGTGATGATGTTAAAAGACCATCTTATTGTGTGCTTATTCCAGCTGGACAAGAACGACAGAGATCGGAGGATAGCAAGGCAAATAGAGAGACAAATAACAAGAAAATGTGTATCGAGCCTAAATTTAATCTTCACAAAATTGCATTTCCGGTCCTTGTGAATTATTTGCTATCTACTTTGAGGTTGTTATACAATGGTTTTTTTTTACTTTTTCTTCAGGGCGACAAGATCCATCAGAATTAGATCCAAGATTAATTTGCCCTATATTTGATATTTTTGTACCTTGCTTACCGTCTCATATACGACAATACTTATATTTTGGAGTTAAACATAATAAAGTAAGTCTATGTATTTTTTTTTTTTGCATTGCCTACAAATGGCAGGATTGATAATACCAGTTACATAGCCTATTACTAGTTTAGTTATCTGACGTTACAAGGGAATTGAAATGAAACGCAACGGGGTTTAGTTTAACTTTTCTGCACCGACTGGGCTAATCAAACGTCATGCTGTGTGCTATGATGGTAATTTTTCCCGGACAGCGGAGCTACGGTCTACTCCCATTTCGAATTCTAACTGTCAAAGGTTCTTTTACGTTCACGCCAATGCGTATACCGGACCTCGTTGTTGTCCCATCCGAACGACTATACGTTGTCCATTTCCAGTCCCCCATCCTACACCACGCCGAAATGCCAACACCGAAATCGAACACGGGGCCTCCAGTTAGCGGACAACATCTTAATCACTGAGTCACCACGGTCCCCGCGTTGCAAGGGTGACAAATATCCAGTTATTTAACATACATAATATCACATCATTACATACTGTACCAAATACATAATAAATATTAAATTTCTTGTTAAAAGCTGGTTTTTATGAAGATACTTTAAAATTCATGAGTTCACCCCTTTGGTTTCCCAAACAAAGAAAAACAAACAAACGGACTTTCTGTGTTATATATTAGTGACATGACTTATTAAGCCAAACAACAACAACAAAAACATAAATAAAAAAATACATGTATATAATGGTGTTTTTAATAAAGTGACTTATTAGTATAGGGTCGGCAGGTCGGATGATTTAACAATACACCATGGGGGGGGGGGGGTTCACGCGTGTGCGTTAAATCACAAGGCCCGTCATTGAGTCTGCAGCATGGTTTCGTTTTCTGACAAGAAGTGGGTTTTCTCTGTGTCCACCGGTTTCCTCCCAGTACTAGAGACCCCTACGCGCAAGCGAATTATTGTTGTAAATGCTGGTTAATAATCATTAACAGGGTTATGGCCCACACGTTGTTTTAAACATCGGTTTAATAGACCTACATTTGGAAATGCCATGTGTTGCTATCTCATTAAATAAAGAAGTCTCTTGATTTCCAACGAATTTTGTTAACTTCTAGAGTTATTCTCCTCTATTATGAAATTCATGTTGATTATCTATCTGTTGGTTTGGTGTATATTTTTGCCGGGCGACCTATACTGTCGGCTCAAGTTATTAACATAATGATACAATATTCTGTTCTCTTTATTGCAGGATAGTAAGGATAGTATTGTAATAAATTCTAGAACCGAAGGGAAACTTAAGGATGATAATAATTTTAGCAGTGAAACAAACGGCGACATTACGTTAGACGAACATATCAGATTAACAAAGTATACTAAAGACATACGAGATTAAGTACATATTTCTGAAACGTGTGTCCATAAAGTTAGAAGCTAGTCGATGATGGCAGATAAAAAGTAACCGTAATGACTCACGAATATCGGTGTTCGTGAAGACTACAAGGCAGCTACTGTCCATTTATTGTAAAAATAACTAATTCATTATGCCTATAAGAACTTCTTTTATCAATAAAAGAACCTATTCAAAAAAATATGTCTTGTTTTTGTCTTGCTTGATTAGGTTCTGTTTTTGTTAATGCATTGCTGAACAAAGTTAAATGTACATCTTTTCCAATTTATATGAACTCAAATCATGATGGACATATTAGAATATATATAACTCGGTGAACTTACATATCGATGATCTATAACAATTGTGTATTAACTATCGATAATCCATCTGCCAATTGTCCTGTTTTTATGTTTTACTGTGACAGAAAATCTTTAGGAATCGCGTTATGGCATCATATCCAAGTTTAAACTACGGATAATTGAAATGTTGACAAAGCCACAAGGAGTAACGATAGCTTCCAATCCCATATATTTATAAATCTCGACGACAAAGATGATTGTGTGACAATAAGATACGTCACGTAAATATTTCATTTGAATGAAAATTAAGTAAGAAATTCATGAGTGTGAAATAATTAAATACAAGTTATAAATGAAATTTAATGTGGTATAACTCGCTACTTTTCTACACCGACCTGCCTAATGAAGACAGACATGCCTTAATTCCAGCTGTCATGGATTATGAAATGGGATTAAACTTCCTACTGTTCTGGTCCGACTGGTCTTATAAAGACGGGCATAGACCATTTTTCCCAGGACAGCGGCGCTACAGCCTACGCTTTTATCGAATTCCAACTATCATGGGATTTTTTACGTACACGGGACCTGTCTTTCGTTCGACTAGACAGCTGTCCTTGTCAGGCCCTGGGGGATCACGTGGCTAAGTGGGTAAGAGGCTGGCTCGCTATCCTGGAGGTCGGGTGTTCGATCCGTGCATTGGTCGAGAAAGTTCATTCAGACTTTCCGGCGTGGTTTCCCCTTGTCAGTGATGCTGGATGGAGGGCCTGACAAGGACAGCTGTCTAGTCGTTCGGATGGGACGAAAAACCGAGGTCTCGTGTACACATTGGCGTGCACGTAAAAGATACCTTGGCAGTTGGAATTCGATATAAGAGTAGACCATAGCGCCGCTGCCCGGGCAAAATTTCCCTCATAGCACACTGTATGGCGTATGCCCGTCTTCATAAGCCCAGGTTAGGAGCAGAACAGTAGGGCGTTAAACCCCATTTCATTTCATTTCATTTGTCAGGAACTCCGCCCTGCAAGACTGACATTGGGAAACCACGCTGGAAAATCAAGATGAACGTTTTCGGTAAACACCGGGAGAAAACCCTTGACCACCAGACTAGAGAGCCAGCTTCTTACTCACTGAACCATCGTGGCTCAAATCCTTTGAGCACTAAACATACATAATGTAAAGCAATACATTTTGTTGCCATTTTTATCCAGCTATATGCAATACATGCTAGAGACTCTCGAGACGACTAAAGCTTACCTGCCCTGCCCCAAAGGTCTAGACCATGAAGGGTCAGCTGTGATCTGAACACACCTACCTTTATATTTGGATTTTTATATGCCCACATTGAAATTTGGTCGTATATTGTCGTCGCCCCCGTCGGACGCGCTAGAGGCTAATGTTAATATCTGAATGACTTTAAATTTATGCACAGTACGTGTTTAAGGTCATGGGTGAAGAAGCAAATTGAATTTGAACGATTTACGATAATTAATGTCAGAGTTATGGCCCATGATATTTATGCACAGTGTTTAAGGTCATGGATGAAGAAGCCAATTGATTTTGAAAGATTTACGATAATTACTGCAAGAGTTATGATATTAAATGTTAGTATAGCGCAGAACTCATAATCAGAATTTAGTGTGTTGTAAATGTGTGCATTACTGACAAAAGTAAAAGTATGCCACAACCCTTGTTGACTGTCGGAGGACTAAGCTGCTGAGGGCGTATGTTTCGTTGCCTGACAACCTATCGTTAGCTGGTTATGTTGCCGCAGTATTTGCTTCAGTGACGAAGGGCTACAGTTATGTAGGCTACACCCAACATGCGCTCAAAGTTATCGTTTCCGGTAAAACTGTTGATCTGAATCAAGCGTGTCACACTCAAATCTTGACTGCGAATAACCCGATTCGGAATAATTGTTCCAGGTTGAATTCGGAAAAATATACGGATTCGTTAATTCAAATTCAGTTCGGTTTTTATCGAATTGAGTGTGACGCCAAAGTCCGGAATTGAATAAGACTTTATTCCGAATTCAATTCAGATTAAACCGCTAGTGCGAACGCAGCTTTAGACAAGTTAAAATAAGGTTATGTTGAACATTTTGGGCTTATTAGACCTAGATCACGAATTTCAAACTGCCATCAAGGTTTAAACCCCATCCAGTTCTTTTTAAAGACACATAATCACTAACACAAGTAACAGAAATCTATACGAGAACCCTTTAGCCAAAAGTCGATCAAGTTACGAACTTTTGTGTAAACGGGGCCCTATCGAATGCAACAGCCAGGAGTCAAAATGTGGCCCGAATGATGAACCAGAGAATGAACTTCATGTTTTCAAATCTAAATTAGAATAGTCCTACATATCGGCCACCCAATGGGACTTTTGAGTTAATCGTAGTCTACTATAAATCCCCCCCCCCCCCCCCGATCCCATGATTCGTTAGACTAAGCTGGGAGATTATCCGTTGATATTTTGATTTTGCTTAAATAATCAATCGGAGTAGGCCTACATGCTAACCCTAACCGTTTTTAGCAGACCCCCCCCCCCCCCTAAATGGGTTAGGGTTAGTATTCCCCAAAATATTCATTTATATAAAGCGGCCATGTGGACTCTGGAAATTTCCGAACGTCCCCTACCGGCCTACAATTAGCATCTGCCAAATATTTTTGTCCAAAAAAAAAAAAAAAAGCGACAGATACGCGGGATACGGACCCGTTTTGAAATGTCAATTTGGAGATTAAAGGGAGCTAACTCTATAGCAACATTCAACAAATATGGCGGTCGACAAAGTGGACATGCAAAACCCTGATGATATTGAAAACACTTCCGACTGTTGTTTTCATGAAGAATTTAAAGATTTAGCCGAAGTAAAAGATTTAATTTCCAAACTTCCCGATATCTACAATGATCAGACAAAACGGGAACTGTCATTTGAGAGAATTACACGTGAGTCATCACCAATCGACTGTCATTTTTTAAGAAAAATTCCACTTGTCTGTTCGGCTCATAATGAATGTCATATCGCCATGGATGGATCTTATAAAGTCCATCCATTCATATCTATTATATCTAACATCATTTATTGATATTAACAGGTGAACATTTTATTTGTTGTTGGGTTTTACGTAAATAAAGGCAAGACATGATCGTCAGATTCAGAGCTAGATTCAGTCTACTTATTATTTAGAAGAGAAGTCTAGTATTAATGACAAACCACCAACCTAGGCCATCTGAACAAGTCTTGTATGGTGGGTAACCACAGGGTGGGTAACCACAGGCTGGATTATTTAGTCTATTTGTCTCTAAAAACGTCACACGGGGGAGACAAATATTATGTACGGTAGGCCTACCATTAGTTTTTTGCCCTAGCCCTAGGTAAATCTTATGTTAATTTTTACGATTTTGCTTGGATCACAGCCTACACTAATAGGCTATACAGTATGTCGGTACGGTATCGTTACCACACAGACAAAAATTTTATGGGATTCAGTAGACCTACAATTAATGTTGTCTGGTTTTTAAAATTAAGATAGGCTACGTGTATTTTAAATTATCTTTCTAGAAATTGTTGATTATTATCAAGCACAACCGCACCTGATAGATCCTCATATTGGTAAGTATTTTATTTAACAAACCAACATTTCTCAAGAATTAATGCTGGGAAATCACTGTTTATTTGTATGGTGTGCAAACTATGAAGACTTGTCAATCTGATTAAAACACAGATCCTATTTTGTTTCATTTTTTATTGTTCAAAATTTCGTTTTGCTTGTCTTCACAACACTAGGATCTGGAAGGGTTGTTATATATAACAGGTGTTCTAGTTGATGTGAGAAATTAGCCAATAAAATGATCTGTTACAGTGAGTTTTTAGCGTGCTCTGCACGGAACTGTGGGTAAACCCCTAGAAATGTCACGCTGATTGATTAATCAATGTCTGATGTCATAGGGTCAAAAGCTGCTCGTATAACCTGACGCGACCTCCTGGTACAACTGGTCAGATCTTCATGTAGTGTAAGCCATCGAAAGTATAAAAAACGAAATTAAATAAAGATATGTATTTTAATCAAATTGAGGTCTTGTTATGTCATTTTAGTTCTGTTGATAATGATACATGCATGCTATGTCAGAGATGTTTCACATTATTCAACTTGTCTTAATTAAATTTAATTTCTTGATATTTTTTATAGAATTGATATTGACAGACTTACTCAAAATAACAAGAAGCAATGATAGTCCAACAGAATTAATAAATGAGGCATTTAAGTATGTCTATCTTATAACAAAGGTATAATATGGTAATGAAGATGATGACATGATATGAATGAATATGAATGAAATGGGGGTTAAGTTTATAATATTTTTCTGCACCATTTGGTCTGATGAAGACATGTAGAGGCATACACCATACATGTGCTAAGAAGGAAAGATTTGCCGGAACAGCAATTGAATTCCTATTGTCAAGGGGTTATTTATGTGCATGGAACCTTGGTTTTTCTCCCATCCGAATGATTAGACACTTTTCCTTGTGCCAGAAAAATCTTGAGGAACTTTCTCGGCCAGTGCCTCAACCACTGAGCTATAATATGAATTAAATAAAAAGAATCAACTGGATGTACACATGAATTATGTTAATAAAATAAGCTTAAGGACATTATGTTCACGCTGTGTTTACCTATACTAGTTATATGACTTCTGTGGTTGTTTGTTAACCTGTTAATTATTAGAATGACAAAAAGAGCAATTAGTAGTGACAAGAATGATAATAAACTTCACGACTGTTTATACATCTGATTGTCTTTAGTAATTGTCAAAATTGTCAGTATTACCGGTAATATAATATATAGTTTATCTATTCTGAACTCTGCAGATTTCTGAACATTTTGTAAAGTTTTGACTGTAAACCACTAAACCCCCAACACAAATAATTTGATTTGACATTTACAATATAAGTTGTTTTCACTGTCAGTGCCCACAGCGTAATAATTATGTTTGTATTTCAGATGAGAGGTTATAAAGTTTTTGTAAAGTTTTGACTGTAAACCACTAAACCCCCAACACAAATAATTTGATTTGACATTTACAATATAAGTTGTTTTCACTGTCAGTGCCCACAGCGTAATAATTATGTTTGTATTTCAGATGAGAGGTTATAAAGTTATAGTCCGTTTTTTACCACATGAAGTAGCAGATGTTGAACCTGTTATGGCGTTACTAGTCAAACAAGATCCTACAGATTTTACGGTATAATATCTACTTTTATATTTATACATTTTCTTAATTTATATTTACGAAAAGTATGGTACATGAGTAACATTTCATGTATGTTTGAGTTGATAAATAAAAGAGACACTAACACTGTTTTCATCGTCAGATATTGTTACACCAACATTTCGAAGAGGTACCCTCTTCTTCTTCAAGGTAGTAAATAAAACATTTAAAAATCATCTCTAAGGAAACAGAAATGATGTCATAGAGAACTGTGATGAAGAGTGTGGAACCAAGAGCGCGTGAAAAAGGGGAAAGTACCGAAAAATGTGGAAGGAAAGTCTAAAAAGTGTTGATGGGAAAGATGGTTTGAGCATTATTGTTAATACCTAGAGGTGTAACAATATCTGACGATGAAAACAGTGTTAGTGTCTCTTTTATTTATCAACTTTAATATATATAAAGAATTGAAAGGTATATAAAATACATGTAAGCATACATGTTAAATATGTAATCCATTTGAAACGCAAGGAAAATTAAAGCATTAAATAATACACATTTTGTGCCATTTGTAATGTTAGATACCATTGGTAATTGGTAGCCTGATTTAGTAGTGTGTCCTGTTTATTAATTAAACTGGTGCTGTCTTAATTAATATCTAATGTACATAATTCTAGTAATGGAATCCGATGTGTTTGAAGTTTCTGGAAATCTGTCTTATAGCCAATTCTGGCAAACCCTATATGTATTCAGATGAATTACCAGTGGGGCTGTAGGATATTTCAAATTTTAAAAATCAATAACATAAATAGCCATTATTGCAATATTATAGTGCTCCAAGCAAGAAGACTCAAAAAATCTTTTTTTATCTGGTATTAATGGTGGTTAAAAGTAACTTGTGGGTTTTCTTGCTTTTAATTTTGTTATTAAAGATATACATGTATTTTTAACATTAGACAATAGACATGCTATTTTTAATTCCCTGTATACCAATATGAAAACATTTTAAAATCATAAAATTTGACAGAGTCCCTTTAATACTGGTAGTAGAAACACCATGTAGGTATATGGGAAAATAAATTTGAATCATTATAAGGACAAGCTCACACTAACTATTTTTTAATAAAATACCATAATATCTATCAGAGAATATTATAGAAGAAATGACAACAATCTAAGGACAAATGATATATTATTGCTGTATTTTCAACTGTCAAAAATTATTGTCAATAAAATTTATATATTGTGATTTATTGAAATTATCGTCCAGCAGTAAGTAACAGTTGAAGTTCTGCATGCATATTAATCAGATAGTGACCAATTTTAACCATTAATGATTTTTTTTACACAATGGAAGTAAGACTATAAAATTGTCTTACATCTAAAAATTCAAGAGGTTTATACATGTATATGCCCACATTGAAATGTGATTGTATATTGTTGTCTGTCTGTCTTTTGTCCATCTGGCATCCACTCTTTTTTTAATTCTGGAATAATGCTTACCACCAAAAAATATGCCATAGCAATATATTATATCTTACATAAATGTGTTCAAGCTCAACTAAATTTCACATTAAATTTACTATTTCAGTGCTGGGAAACAAGATATATTATTTTACTCTGGATGTCCATGTTATGTAAAATACCATTTGATTTAACCAGACTTGATGCCTCTGGAAAAGCTGGTCAGAAAGAACCTATTATGGACAGAATTTACAAACTAGGACAGGTATAATAGATTGCTGGAATTTGGCTACTAATAAAATTATCTTTGTGGTGACACTTAGAGCTAAATACATAAATGACATTAAGATGTTAGTGTAGTTATAGCAAGAAAATCTGTAGTTGAATGGTCATATGAATTATTTCTTAAAATTACATCTCTGTCTTTTAGTTGATCTATTAAAGGGTAAGTTAAACATTATATTTGACATAGAATTAAAATTCTGTTTTTTTTTTTTGTTTAAAGAGTTACTTGACTGTTAATGATAAATCAAGAGATGCTGCAGCCTTTATGATGAGTCAGTTTGTCACCCGACCAGATGTCAGTAAAGTCAAATTATCCCCGTTTCTAGACTGGGCACTTCAAACTTTACGTGAAGCTGATTGTAAGTAAAGTTATTACTATAAAATATTAAACACTTTACTTTTTAGGTCATAGACCAATCATGGTTTCCATGTAAAGAACACAGGGGAAAAATGACACATGTCACACTTTAACCATTTTGAGAATAACTTTTTAATAATTTCTTTGATCATTCCAATTTTGTAACAACAGATAAAGGAATCATTTCCAATTATCTGTGAGTAATATCTACACTTTATGTCTCTTAGCAGCTCAGAAAGGTACATTGCTGTCTATAACCATAAACTTATCTGCCACTTTAAGATGATGTTTAGGGTCCAGGGCCTTTTTCCCCTGTGGTCTTCAGTTGATTAATATTGATTGACAACCCAATCATTTAATTGACCTGGTATTGCTGGTAATAGTCAGAAGATATATATTTTTTATTATTTGCTTGGGTAAGAGGTTATTTTACTTTTTAAGAAAAAGAAATCTTTTGAAAGATTTTCTGTCAAAAATTATTTTTTACTTTTGTTGTGAAACTTCCATAAAATTAAAAATTTTAATCAATAGATACATGAATATGCATGACAATAGACTAAGTATGTCTCCACAGGAGAATTTATATGCAGGGTACTTGGGTTGAATCAAATGATTGGGGATTACATTGGACTAGGAGTGGATTGGGGGTGGGGGCAATGTGCCTTTGAGGTTACTATTCATGTACATGTAAATGATATCTAGTGAATGTCATAGTAACATGCAAGTTACTATATGTCTTTTGTAATTGATATCTTTCACATTTATAATGTATTTTATATACAGGTGAAACTATGTTGGGTATAAACAAAGCTTGTGGTGTTTTATCTACTATAGCTTTATTATATAAACATGGAAAAAGAGAAGATGTCTTACAATATGGTAAGTATTTAACTGAACTTAAAAAACTATTTTTTCTCAACAAATGAATAGCTTTGAATGCAATAGAAGAAATCTATAAGATTATAACCCGTTAACTGGAAGAAACTGCTAAAACTGTATAATTTGAGAGGCAGAAGTGTGTAAAGTCTGCTTTCATGAAGATCTGTGTAGATGTACTGTTTAAGCAGCATTTGATCTGTATATGTACTGTTTAAAGGGTAATTTGATCTGTAGATGTACTGTTTAAAGCGTAATAATTTAATCTGTAGATGTTGTTAGGATCAGTAGAACATATAAGTGAGAGATCACCCGGACTCGTCTGTTTTTCTTGTGTTTTAGAACAACCTTCTTCTATGAAGTAGGCCTACTTAATAGTGATACAGATATATATGAACAACGAAGACCATTTTGATGCCATTTGATAGACTATCAATTAATGAAACATTAATTACTGCTTTACATGAAGGTCATTGCATATCAACTGGACCAATGGTGGGAACATGACCCCCTCAAATATATGTTATAATATATGGCCTTAAAATAACAAATCCAAAATTTTACCTCTCTCGGTAAAAAAACTCACTGAGATGTGGCCATTTGAAATTAGGGTACTGAAACATTTCTAATAGGAATAGAACTCGGTGAGTTTTCAACCTAGAGAGGTACAATTTTGGATTTCTTAGCTTAAGGCCATATACTATAACATATATTTTTTATAATATTTTGGAGGGGGTCATCGAAATTTGGTCCACTTGACATGGAATGACCCATAATAATGTACATTTCAAGCTCAAGTTCTAATAACTGGTTTTATTTATAACAGCCCCCAAAGTTCTTGATGGAATAAGTGAATGTAATTTAAAAGAAAAAGAAAATTCAATTCTGCGGAAGATAGCAATTAAAGTGACTCAAAGATTAGGCCTCACATTCCTGAAGACACAAGTTATATCCTGGAGGTATGAAATAATTCACTGCATTCAGACATTTTCAGGTCATGTATTCAATTTGCATTCCAATTTAAAGGAGCAGTGGAAGATTTAATATGGTATCCATTAATAGAAATAGATTTAAAGGAGCTAAACCTCTGACTCAATATTATCCATAATATTTGAAATATAAAACATGATTTAGAATTCACTATTGGTCTATTTATATCAATATTGATGTTATCTTATCGTGAAAATATCGGCTCCTGATATCTAATATTTAAGACATAATAAACATGTCTATGAACATAATTGTTTCGAGTGCCATTATGGTGTTAGTAAATTATAATATTTTGTATGTATTATTGTTTTTGAACAGATATAATCGTGGAAATCGAAGTTTAGCCAGTAATTTACAGTCAAATAAAGACGATACAGTAGTTAATAAACAGGTAAATACTATACAGGATGACGAGGGACATGAAGATATACCAGAATCTATTGAAGAAATATTAGGTAAATCATTCTTCACATAATAGAGAGATAGATGGGGTTTAAAATCCACTCAACACAATTCATTTTGGGACTAATATATGGTTAAATTTATTTCATTAATTTGCTTGCTCGTAGGATTCTTTAGCTGTGAGAGGAAACCAAAGGACCTAGAGAAAAGCCACAGGGTAGGGCATGTCATGTATAAGCAGGGAATCGAAACCACGCCACTTGACAGACCTTATGATCTAATGTGCACATGTTAAACCTGTGAGTCATCCAACTCCCCACCCCCCCTTCTTTAGATAATAGAAATATACAGAGATAACAGGGTTGGATAAACCATGTCAGTGCTTGGGTGGGAATTTCAGAGCAAACCTTAAAACCTATTATATCTGAAATAATGTATGGATGATCGCCCATTTCCTGATAAACTGGCGGCACTATAAGCATATAGATGTCTACCAGCAGAGTTAAAGTCAAAAGTCAAGCCTTTGCAGACCAAATGAGGCCCCATAGAATTTTCCTCGTATTTTTGAATCTGCATTAGAATCTTTCGGTTATCTAATGGAAAATAAATCCCTGCCTTCCGGTGTAGAGAGTTGATTATGGGCTTGTCATGTTAATAAATTTCTTAATAAAGAGTTTATATGATATTTGAAGGCAAAAAAAATACCCGCAATAGGCAGATTTAGCTTTTCTTTTACATAACGGATCTTTAAATGTACTGTTTGTTATTTTAGGTGAATTATTAGAAGGACTGCGAGATAGAGATACTATTGTCAGATGGTCAGCAGCTAAAGGGTAAATATTTTATTCTGGCTGGGTAGTTTCCATGGTTTCATTGAAAATGAAATGAAATGAAATGAAATGGGGTTTAACGTCCTACAGAAAAGTCCATTGAGTTTTCACCAAGTGAAGTAGAACTTAACAACTTTGTATATGTGATAGACAAATCACACAGTATCTCTTAATTTTTCGGGTTACGAAGAAGAAGCCTTTTTTTTTAAAATCCTTTTTACTAGCTATGTTTTTTCAATTGTTTTTTAGTATTGGTCGTGTAACTGGGCGATTACCTAGAAGTTTAGCTGATGAAGTTGTAGAATCTGTTTTACAATTATTTACGTTACAGGAAACAGATGGAGCATGGCATGGAGGTTAGTACATGGCTTCACATCCATCATCTATTCTCCATTTCTTGTGAACACTCTACAGGTCACAGTTCTTGTCAGACTTTTGAAATCTAGAGGGATAATTCATTTTGTCATTAGGAAGAACTCAAAGTTCATTTTCTGTTACACAGTGGATATTTTCAAAATGTATTCTGCTGGTTGTGTTGATAATGATTTTAAAACTAGTACAGACAACTTTGCTGCTGGTGGGCATATTAGGGTTCCTTACAAGCTTCTATCTTTCAATTGGTTTTCAATTATTTTCAAAGATATGATTCGTTGTAAATCTACATACCTATCTACTTAGGATATTTTGGTTTTGTTTACATAATTAAATAAAGATAATCAATTTGCATACAATTTAGCTTTGATAAAGCTGTGAAAACTGAGTTATTGTCTGGGAAATGCATGAATGGGATCAGTGACTTTAATCTAATGTTGTAGTATATAAATTGATAACACAATTATAGGGAATACAAAGGTTATCTTGTCTTTATAGTAGAAACAGCACCAGAAATAAACGTCTTAAGTAAAGTGTATTCCATATTGTGTCATGTGTTACTCTTTCTGTTAAATATCGCTTAAACTTTAGATAAATTGATGTTTGCTAGCTTCATATAAAAGTTGTTATATTTTCTATAGTTTGTCTAGCAGTAGCTGAATTATTATATAATGTTGTTATATTTTCTATAGGTTGCCTAGCAATAGCTGAATTAGGTAGAAGAGGATTATTATTACCAGAAAGATTACCTACAGGTAAATTCAAAATTTAAAAGTTTAAGATTCCAAACAGCAAATATAAACTGATCATAAACAGTAATAGGTTGTCTTACCAAAATAAACATCAGTGTAGAAATTATTAATATAGGTCAATCTCAATGTAAAGGCCATGTTACCATCTTTGTCAATGGCTGAACTCATAACTTTTCAGTCCACAAACTTGGTAAAATTAATCAATTTTCAGCCCTAATGTATTTTAAGATATGGCCTACCGCTAGTCTCACATACTGTAATAAGACATTCTATCTACCTTAGCTAATTGTGGCATGTTACAGCTATATATAATTGTCTATTATAAACAAAGTTATTGCATCTTAGAAAAATCGTATCATAGACATCCTCACTACAACTTATGTTCTATCTCAAAGCCCTTCATATTGTTATGAATCATAGTGAAAATGGCAGTGTATGAGGCTAGCCTTAGATTTTTATAATTTAGATGTTAAAAACTGCCAATGATATCAGATATGTATTAATATGATAGTACTTATAAGGCAACACAAATAAAATAACTTGTTTCTCGGGCACCGCCCGCACGCAAAATTGGTTGCGCGTGCAGTCTATTTATTAGTCTTGATGAAAAAAAATAAATATGTAACGCCCGCCCGCACATCGACAAGCAAGTCGTAAAAAAAATATCCCGCATGTACCTACATCCGCCATACATGTATATCTATTCAAATGTATTGAAACTGATTCAGATGAACATGCTGTCTTTTTTATCCGAACAATGGCGAAGTTTGGCAGATTTGCCTTTTTTATTGATATCGAAAGAACCTCCATTTTGTATCACGTGATATTAATTACCTCCCCTGATAAACTAGAATTTGATTGTGTTAAAAGTCATTGGCGACAATATTTCAATCATTCGATCGTAATCGGCTCATTATTGCCGGCTTCAGTCGGTCCTTGTTTGGAAAATCCTATTGATAAAATAATGAACCGTAGAACAGGTTAATTAATTATAGCTAAGAATACGATACGATGACGATAGTCGTCATAATGCATACCTTAGAATCTGGGTCATTATTAGCACATTTACGGTAGTTTCGATAATCCGGAAAATAATAATTGGATTACCGATTTGATGGTTTTACTGACCAATTGTTAGTTAGATTTAAATAGTCATTCAATATAAACACCGGATAGAACACCGAATATCCTGAGAAACACACCGAATATCCCAAGAAACAGTATTTCCGGCAATCTCCAATACCGATGACACGGTGTGACATGCATTGGTTGGAATTCGGTAAATAATTATAAATAAACCGGCGATACTAGATTTAGTTTTAAATACTGTTTACCATGATTATTATTTTTGATACACCTGGTGAAAGAGGCTTAGTTTTTAAAAATATTGTTGTCTTTATGGAGGGCTATTATAGTCGTATGGAATTTTATTTTAAACCAATTTCAATTATGTGAATTAAATATGGAAAATTATTTTCCTTTCAGTCAGTGTTCAGTCTCAGTGTTTTAGTAGACTTGATTTTGGGTTTATGTTTTAAGTATGTACAATAAAGTTGAATATAACGGAAAGCAAAAACGTAAACAAGTAATGACTTTCTCATTTAAAAAAAAAAAAAAAGAAAGACCGCCCTCCCGCCCCAACAATTTTCAGCAATAGCCAAATTTTATTTTGCACCATCAATGAGTAAAAAAAAAAAAAGAAACCGCCCTCCCTCCCTACAGTTTCAGCTGTCAGTTGCCCGAGAAACAAGACATTTATTTTGTGTGGCCTAATTGTTAACTGATATTATTGATGTAAATGTTGTAATATTTTTAAGTTGTACCAGTAGTGTTAAAAGCTCTAGCATATGATGAAAGAAAAGGTAATTTCTCTGTTGGGTCACATGTTAGAGATGCTGCCTGTTATGTCTGCTGGGCTTTTGCTAGAGCTTATGAACCTGAAGAAATCAAACCTTTTGTTAACAGAATTGCTAAGTGAGTCGGTTTATTTTAATTTTGATTTCATATTTTGTTATTGTTACATTAGAGCATGGCCCCACTTGTATGATGTCATAATTCCTCAAAACTCAATGGGAAGCAGTGTTGACTCAGATAGTAAGTTGCTGGCTTACAAACAAGGAAGTACTGTTGGAATTTGAAAACAGTGTAGGCTGTAGCACTGCTGTCCTGGTAAAATTTCCCTCATAGCACAATGCATGGTGTATGCCCGTTTGCATTAGTGACAGTTGGTGCAGAAAAGTAGGATGTTAAACATTTCTTTTCCAAGCATAATCCATGATAGTCAATTATGATACTGCCGTGGTGATTAGATGGTCTCCAAAGTCAGCCATATTCTCCTTATAGTGTCACAGTAACGATATAATATATCATCTGTGACACTATAATATTTTGTCATGGCTGAATGAGTTTAGAGATTTCAGGTTTTATTCATATTTTTATGGTTGAACATTTGATTGTATTTGCAGTGGGCTGATTATAGCAACTATATTTGATAGAGAAGTTAATGTCAGGAAAGCAGCTTCTGCAGCATTTCAAGAAAATGTGGGAAGACAGGTAAAAATATTTATCGATTAAATGTTAATATAAAAACAATACTGTTGTTGTTATAATCCTGTTACTAAATTCTAAGAAGCGTAACCTATCCCAATAAACAGTTCAACAGATAATTTAAATTATTCTAAACGTGAATATCATAAATATCACAGGATCTGTATTATACAAATTTAAAAAAAAAAAAAAAAATAGTTTTTCAATTATAGTTGTATTTGTGCTTAAGTTTCATTCAGGAAATGGTCAAAAATGAATATATAACTAAAGATTGTGGTTGACTTGACCTTTGGAGTGGAGTATAAGTTCAATCGTTTCTTTTTGATTACAACATTGTAATTCTGGGATAATTATCATCCATGATAGAATCCATTTTCAGATAAAATTGAATTATATATGATTGTCCATTAGTGTTATTACATGATTGTTGATAACATTTATAGATGTTGTGTACTTGATAACTGAGCCTACTCTACATTTATTATTGGAGTTACCCTGCAACAGAATAGGAGAACAAGTATATTGTGTTTTTGACTTTAATTATTTTTATACTAGGGCATATTTCCACATGGCATAGATATAGTTACAACAGCAGATTATTTTGTAGTTGGTAATAGATCACAGTGCTATCTAGAAATAAGGTTAGAAAAATCATTTATCTCTTTCATATTCTTTCATATATAAGGCGCTAACTCAAAATAGTCCAGAGTTTTCGACATTACAAAAACAACTTATTGTTCCATTTCAATCAATATTGATGTTGTTATCTTACTATGGAAAAACTCTGGCTCCGGATGTAATATTTAAGACACAGTGAACAAATGCCGGCATTTACTCAATGCTCTCGTATGTGATTTGAAATAAGATGCCTTTAAAGTTGCAATTTCATATTTTTAAGTTATATTTTTAAAATTTATTAAAATAAAGCCTTAAAATAGATGGTATCTATAAACAGTCCTACCTTGTTAAAGAATAATCCTATTAATCCTATAATTCACTATTGCCAGTTGAGAAATTGCCAAAAATATCGACAAATTCGAACGTTTGAAGTTAGCTATTCCATGGTGGACAATAGAAAACAAGGGAGGTAATTGTGTTATTATTTCCGGTGTAAATGAGTTTTAAGTGTGAGAATGACACCTATGATCGTATAATAGTGAGTTGACAACCTATTAAGCAAAGGACATAGAAATAATTATGTTTTGACTTTCTTAGAAAATATGAAATTGTAACTTTAAGAATGAGGCTAAACGTCAGTGTTTAAGTGAAATGTCAAACCGTAGATTTGATGTAGACTGGCATATTAAAAATTAAACAAGGATGATATATAAAATAAAAGGTTAAATATAGCACAAAAGGTGAATAAGTTCCTTTAAGCAATAGAGGTGGGTGAGAGAGGAGAAGAGTAATTTTTGTAGAGATAAACAATAAGTAATGCTACTAGTGGTAACGGTTTATGAACTGATTTACAATCGGGGGTCATTTTACTCATCTCATGAAAATTTGCTAGTCCGATGGCATTAAAACCTAATAATGTGAATCCATGAATATATTCTTTCTAAATCTCACAGGTAACCCTAGAATGCAGTTCTATTTTTTTATTTCAGTGTATACATAGCTCAATTTGAAGAATATACAGAAAGTTTAGTTAATCATCTGGTGAATGTTAAAATATCACATTGGGACAGGTTCGTTGGCTGTCTTAACTATTTTACTTTGCTAAAAATAATTACAGTTCAAAATTTAAAAGATCTAGAAGAGTTGTTAAATTACCCACTTTCTGGTTGATGTCAGGGATTAGCCAATTAAATTGTCTGTTGAGTCAAGTTCTTATTTTCGGCATGCAGAGCTGTGAGTAGATATTCCCACTGATAGAAAACAAATCAAAGCAAAAGTTGTATTTCAAAATAGCCACTTGAAAAAACAATACTGATTGATTAATCGAATGACTGATGTCATAATATCAAAAGGGAGACATATGACCCCTGATCCCTGTTGCAACCTCCCACTACAACTGGTCAGATCTTCATATAGTGGAGGCCACCGAAAGCATAAAAAAAAACCCCAAACAAAATGGAGATCTGTATTTTTATCAGATTGCATTAAATTAATTTGTTGCCCATCTGTATATAATTGTTTAATAACAGTGTTATTTAAATGTTTTATGATATTTATATTATAGTGCAATAAGGGAGTTATCTGCTGAAGCTCTCTACAATTTAACAGCTACATGTCCACAATATATGATTAAAACTGGTAAGTATATATAGTTCTGTGTTCAGATTTCCAGTTTCTGGTAATCACCTGATTTGTGTATCATGGTTTCTTTTGGCGTAAGAAATATGAATTGGAACTGAATAATTATTGGATATGTTATGTCATTGTGTTACAGCTTTACCAACTATACAACTTTTTGACCAACTATAATAGAATAAGAATTGTTTATATGATTGTGTTACAGCTTTACCAACTATATTAAGTAGAACAACTAGTATAGATTTATTTATGAGACATGGTGCAGTATTATCAGCAGCTTATATTACACATGCATTATATAATTATGCTCTTCAGAACAAACAGTAAGTACATAATTTACTATAAAGTATTTAATTCAGTGCTATTCTATGGCTAGCATTAGATTGTTGTTAAAACTAGAAATTAGATCATTAAGGCTCTTCAACAGATTTGCATCCTTCAGATCAGAGGGGTGGATCATTAATTGATCTAATGGGTGTGCCGATAATATATTCCAGCCATGGGTTTGATCTTCAGCTTCCTCCTAAAGACCTCTACATGCAAGAATAGATTAGTCTCAGAATCACAAAGTTTGTGTTTAGTGATCATTAAACCTTTCTGTCTCACTCTCTCCCCTCTCCATCCCCTAACCCTTTCTTCTTGAATCTAAATCTGGTTTATAGACATCAACATTAATTTATCTTACAGAAAAATTCAGGATATTTTAGATAAAACAATATTAGATGAATTAGCTGACATTGCTTCAAAGGTGAATTTTATTTTTTATTTCCTAGATACATCATTTTAATAAGGGTTGTATATCCTGAAACATTATCAATAAATTACTTCTCTCTTCTATTCTACTTACAACCAGTTTGTACTGCTGTTAAGCAGGGAGTTTTGAATTATCTATATTTATCATTTAATGGTATTGATAAAATACTAATGGGGGTGTTCTTATTTTATAATCAGATCTTTTAATATGCGTAGTAAGATGCACTGTTTAGTAAGATGTTAATTTATTGACATGTATTTTGAGAACTCAACAAACAAGATACTGCTCTTTTATCATCATAATTTTTTAAGTTGAAAATTCTACAGTAGATGTTACGCAATCTGATTATTAAAATAAAGATCTACCACGTACCACACAGTAAGAACTCAACTCGACATATCATTTGACATCACCCAGAAAGCAAATTGTTTAACAAATCTTGTGTATCCTGATGTGGTAAATTTTGAACTATATAAAAAAAATATGATCTGTGTTTTAATCGGATTGGGTTTCATGTCGTTTAGTGTTAGTTTCATGATGATATTTCTTCTGTCTTCAGTTACAGAATGCCAATCTATTTAAAGGCTTAGGAGGTGAATTAATGAGAAAAGCAGGTAATTATAAATTATTAAAGCCACTGATCTTCATTTGAGAGATTTTGAATCCGATGCAAACTACAAAATTGTGAAAGTTAAATCTCCAAAAGGAATATTAGACCAAATATTGTTCATAACCATTTAGTATTTACTGTAGATGATATAAACAAGCTAGCGCAATCTATAAATGTTGGGTAAAATATTTTAATTGCCGTCGTTTCAATCTGATTGGATTCCCAAGCTGTTTCTTTTTCTTTATTAAATGGGGGCATTTTAACAACAATTAATTAAGCTGTGAAAAATCAAATCGGATTCCATTCCTTGTACAATTGTCAAAACCACTGCATCATTGAAACATTACCGAGTTTGTCTTGAAACAAATATATTTATGAGACATCAAATTAATCTTTTGTTCGTATTCTAAATATTGTTTTCATTCATTGTCATCATTGATTATCTACTTTTAATTAAAATACTTGAAGATTTCAATCATGTTTATATGTTGTGTTTTTCAGTTTGTTGTTTAATAAACAAGTTATCCATATCTAAAATACCTGTACATGGTAAACCTGTTGTAGGTAAGGATGATTATATTTTAATTCATATTTATAAACATGAATTATTTTATCTATCATAAAAACATGAATTATTTTATCTATCATGTTGGCTGTTTAGAAAAATAAGCTTCCATTTAGAGCTCTTGTATTATTTACTTATTTGTTTGTCCTTCTTTGCGTGCCAAGAAATAAAGATTATGTTAAAGATGCCTTATATAGTAAGTGCAGGGGGACTGCACCACACAAAATTTACACAAAAACAAATACACAGACAGGACATCACACTCAGGAAAACACAAACATATAGACAATTCAAAAAAAGTGAATGGATCCGGGGGCTAGCCGTAAGCGTCCACTTATGTAAGAGCTAAATCTGCGTAGTGATAACAGAGATCAGTTTCGTAAATACAGAATTTATTTACATCAGGAACAAGAATATAAAACAGGAAAATAAATTAAACAGGAACATATAAATAATAACATTAACATATATAGTACATGACTATATTGCAACCATTCCGCTCCTCTGCATAGGCAGCGGCTGAACTCAGGTAAGTCCATACACCGGTCTCTGTTCCTCTCCTTCTGCTGCCTTTCTGTCTCTCTCCTCCACCTGTCAGCAAACTTATGTTTATGTACCTGTCAACAATAGGGAAAGTTGATTATAGACCTGGGGCCTGTTTCACGAAATTTTAACTAAGATAAAATCCAAATTTTAGTAATTTGATTGGATAATATTAGATTGGTTTTAGTGCTTAGCCAATCAAAATTGAAGTATCTACTAAAATTTGGATTTTATCTTAAGTTAAAATTTCGTGAAACCGGGCCCAGGAGCCCAGGGGGCCAACCTAGCTGAAAAGTGTACCAATTTTTTCCTATATGTTATCAATGCTTGTATATCTGGTATCATCAGAATGTAAGTCTGCCGGGTTTCCGGTGGTGGGTGTGGTATTCCACGCCTAAAATGCCATGCGCCCCAACTAGGCTAGATTAGCTCAAAAGTGTACCACAAACACACTCTAACAGACATTTCTAGTGGTGGGTTACCCCTGACAGAGCTATGTAATTGTCAGACATTTGTAGTGGTAGAGTATCCCTGACAAGAGTTATACAATTTCCAGTTCACAGCTAGGCTAGATTAGTTGAAATCTGTACCCCCTAAAACAGCTTTTGAGTTGTTCAGTACCACCACAGGAATCATGAGACCACTGCCAGACAGTTTGTGCGGTGGGTTACCCCTAATAGACACGCCCCAAAATGCCACGCCCCCAACTAGACTAGATTAGCGGGCACTGTTCCCGTGTTCTGAAAAATTAAAAAAATCATAACTTCGCTCAGAATGAAGTAACATTACTGAAATATTCTAATATATTCATTTAACATAATCTGTTTGAATATAATATATTATATTAAATTTCTTTTTCTTTATACAGATTTATGGCAGGACATTATAGATGATTGTTTGTTACATGTAGAACCAGAAGTTCAGGTATATTTACACTGTGTTTTAAAATCATTTTAACAATGAAAATTTTGTATTATTGTATGTATTGCAAACTTGAATCTATATTTATAGTTCTGTCTGTCAGGATATTAACATTTCGTGAATGCTGAAGCTGTTATGTACACTTTCGGTCTTGAAGTCATAGGCAAATTAGTCGATAATTTGTATCCCTTCCTCTTTAATGTGGGGTCTGTTGTAGTTGAGCACTTAGGGCAGTTGCCACTTGACAAAATTAACAGCAGTGTTGCCAGAAAATAAAATGTTATCTAGATTTTTGGATATGTATAGAAAACCTAGGTCCACATGTTGACATGTATGTAAATAAAAGAACTTGACAGTTGGAATTCGATGAAGAGTGAGTCGAAAACAGCGCTGTGCATTCAAAATTATTACACGTATTTGATAAAGTAGTTCTTTTCTATTGGCTCAAGTGTGAAATTTGGATAAGTTCTGTTGTTGAAGTGGTACTTAATAATTGAACTAATCTGAACATATTAGGCTTTCGTATAAAGAAAGAATAGATAAATCGATTATGAAATTCATTATAACAAGGGCAGTATTGAATTTATGACTGGGTAGTTTAACTATATTATTCAGCAGATACTGGCATAATTTACAGTTCCATTACTGAGAGTGATATATAATATATATATTTTAATGTTTTTGGAAAATAAACTTGATTGTTGAGTAAATTTATTCTCGCTATATTACAGGCATCTGCTGTTGATGCTCTACCGACTATGATAAGTGAATACTATACCAGGGAAGAAATTATACTACAGCAGAAACAAGGTAGGCGCAAGAAGTATATTTGACTCAAGGTTTAATTTTATCTTTTATATTCCATTTAGATTTTGTTTGAATTCTTTTTAAAGAAATGGTATTGTTCTCGGACCATGATACTCCCTTGGAAATATGATCAATGGACATGACTACATTTTTTAACAATTTTGAAAACTTGGAGATAACTCCTATTTAGTTCTTTAGGAAATTATACTCATCTATATATATAGAGAGAGAAAACTGGGATTTAATGTGCACTTGCCTCAAACTAGGTAATTTTAGAACTAACATGGCACAAATTTATTTCAATAATTCGCAGCTGGGCAGTTTTCCCTACTCCTTGTCATGTACATACTTGGGATCAAAACAAGCCCACATGACTCAATAACATACCTTAGGCAAAAGACCATTTAGCCACCCATCCCCACCTCATTTAAACAGTTTACTGTGTATTTATACATATCGAAAATGAATTCTAAACATGTTAACTCTTTCACTATCAAGTTAACTGCATACTACTACTGACTCTTGATTTTTTTTTTTTATTTAAATATTTTTCTTTGTGTACTTGTTTCAAGAAAGAAATACCAGATAAATTGGCTTTTAAAACGTATAAATAGCATTTTTATATCCTTCCTGGTTACGCTTTTATTGATTGCATTAAGATTGATCATCATTATTAATATTGGTAGCAAAATATTTTATTTAGTATTCTTACTTTAAATTTTTACAGGTGAAATTATTAAAAGGTACTTAAATTATTTGAAATCAAGTACTCAAACCATAAGGTAAGAACACATTTAGTTTAAGGACACTGTTTATAAGTAATGTACATCATTTATAAGGGATTGCATCATAAACCTGACCCTAGCTTGAATTAAAGCGCCAATTCAGATGGAATTCCTGGAATTTATTTGAAATGGCTGACTGTCATTTCAAGGATTTTTGAGTTTGTTTCAAACTTGTGAAAGTTCAATCTCTAATAGATATAGTGATCCAAAATGTCCAGTTCCATTTACTATTTACAAAGATATGACATTGAAAATTCCGCAACATTTTTCATCCTCTGTATATACAAGCCAGTGCCACCTATAAGTGTTAAAATCTTTTGATGCGCCTTTTAATATTATGATTAAATCCAAGCCATGAAAATATCTGCCCTTGATATTTTTGTTTTGTTTTTTTTTAATTAATTGTTAAATAATCAATTAGATGTTGTCCAAAAACTGCAAATGATGATCAGTGGCTTAAAATACCTGTAATTTTTTTGTACTTTAAATTATACATAGATCAAATTCCTTTATTGAATAATTGTATTTCAGATGTGGTTTTAGTTTAGCATTAGGATCTTTACCTAAAGCCATGTTAAATGGACGTCTCAGAGCTGTACTGGATGGTTTAATTAAAACTAGTCAGATAGTGCCAGGACAGGAAGCAATGGCTGAATCTAGACGAGATGCAATAAAGGCCATTACAAGGTATATTTTCTTTAGTATGAGATTGAAACTATGATTAGTAACTCTAATACTTTAATAGCTGTTTTTTATAACTCCAGAAGCATTCACATCCACCTTGTTATTGACCTTTTTATCAAATCAGTGATTTGACTTGTTTGGACAAGGAGTAGTATTGCCTGCATAACCTTGTTGGGCTTTTTCTCCGGGTCCTCTGGTTTCCTCCCACTGATAAAGATCCCTACGTGCAAGCGACTTATTGAAATAAAGTTTACCATATTTTGGGCGGAAATTGAGATGATTGGCTTGCTGACTATGGCACTGGCTCACTAACCTACAAAGTCCTGAGCTTCATCTTGGTCAAACTGTTTCTAGCCTCCTTGCACCTTGTCATAGGTCCCATGTATAAAATTGGTAGAACATTAAAGCTGGCTGGGCAAAATTTCCCTCCTATGGATGATTCAGAAATGTAGGAGGTTAAGCCCCATTTCATTTCTTTTCATTTGAATTTGTGATTTTTACAGTTTATGCAAAACTGTGGGTGTAGAAGAAAATGGAAGTTGTGATAGTGTTTTAACAAAAGATAACATACCACAGATATATGAAGCTTTCCTGGCAGCCATGTTAGATTATACCCTTGATAGCCGTGGAGATGTAGGAGCATGGTAAGTTTCCATTATTTTAATTTTTAACATGGATCATTCCAAAACAAAGTTCAATAACTAGAGCAGATGGATTAATGTAACAAAAATATCTAGAAGAAAAAGTTTGTTTGTTAGGTCACTATAGCAAACCCAACGATTGAACTTTCATAAGAACCATTTTTTTTTTACAAGAAATATAATGGTGCTATTTATTATGTATTTAATATTTAATGATGAATTGACAAGTAATGATCATTGTGTTATTCTGGATGATTTTTCACCAGGGCAACTCTGGGTAATGGACAATGGAGTTAGTAATTTAAAATTGTAAACCCCATGTTTGTTATTTCAGCAAAAATAATGATTAAAGATTATTTTGTATAATGATTATATTTTAGGGTGAGAGAAGCTAGTATGTCAGGATTATTAGAATTAACAATATTAGTTGTAAATACTGCTCCGAATTTAATAACTACAAACATGTAAGTACGTTTTTTATACGCCCACATTGAAATGTGGTCGTATCTTGTTGTCCCCGCCGGTCCTGCATCCACAATTGCTTGTGGACGCTTTACAGGCTAAAGTTAATGTCCGATTGACTTCAAAGTTATACAAAGTGTTTAAGGGCATGAGATGAAGAAGCCTATTGATTTTCAGCGATTTCTGATAATTACCGCCAGAGTTATGGCCTTTGATCACTTCAAAGAATCTTGTGGACGCTCTAGAGGCTAAAGTTAATATCCGATTGACTTTAAATTTAAACACAGTGTTTGAGGTCATGAGACGAAGAAGCCTATTGATTTTCAGCAATTTCCGATAATTACTGCCAGAGTTATGGCCCTTGATCACTTGAAAAATTTATACACAGTGTTTGAGGTCATGAGACGAAGAAGCCTATTGATTTTCAGCAATTTCCAATAATTACTGCCAGAGTTACGGCTCTTGATCACTTGAAAAATCTTGTGGACACTCTAGAGGCTAAAGTTAATATCCAATTGACTTTAAATTTATACACAGTGTTTAAGGTCATGAGACAAAGAAGCCTATTGATTTTCAGTGATTTCCGATAATTACTGCCAGAGTTATGGACCTTGATCACTTCAAAAAATCTTGTGAACACTCTAGAGGCCAAAGTTAATATTCCATTGACTTTAAATTTATAAACAGTGATTAAGGTCATGAGCCGAAGAATCCTATTGATTTTCAGTGATTTCTGACAATTACTGCCAAAGTTATGTCCCTTGATGACTGAAAAATCTTGTGGACGCTCTAGAGGCTAAATTTAATATCCGATTGACTTTAAATTTATACACAGTGTTTAAGGTAATGAGACGAAGAAGTCTATTCATTTTCAGCGATTTTCGATAATTACTGCCAGAGTTATGGTCCTTGATCACTTCAAAATATCTTGTAAATGCTCTAGAGGCTAAAGTTAATATCCGATTGACCTTAAATTTATACGCAGTGTTTAGGTCATGAGACAAAGAATCATATTGATTTTCAACAATTTCCGATAATTACTGCCAAAGTTATGGCCCTTGATCACTTTGTGATGCTCTAAAGGCAAAAGTTATCAACACAGAGTTTAAGATCTTGAGACGAACAAGTATATTGATTTTCAATGAATTTTTAGGACTTGAACAGCTAAATCCATGATGTTAAAAGTTTTGTATACTAAACGTAAGCATGGGGCAGAACTTTATATAAAAACCAAACAAATTCTAATGGTTTTCTGATAATTACTTAATGAGATGTTACTCTTAATCAGATTTTAATGTATTATAAATGTTCAATTACCGAAAAAAGTAAAAATATGCGACAACTCTTGTTGACTGATCTGACGATTTAGCTGCTGTGGGCGTATGTTTCTTTGCCTGGCAACCTATCTTGATGAATGAGAAAACTAAAATTCAATCCTTTCAGAAAATATGTAATGTTTCTTTGGGAAATGTTATATGTTTATATTAGAATAGCTAAAGATGAATACACTATATTAATTTGAAGCCACTTGGATAATAATCACACAAAATGTTTGTTAAGAATTAAGTTAGCAGTATACAGAACTTAATATTTTATAGTGAATATTAACATATAATCCACAATTAAAGATAATAACACTATAAACTCTTAAAAATGTTTGTGTTGACTGGCAATGGTTGTTTTTGGTATCGTAGATGTGAAAAGATGGTTGGATGTTTAGTTCAGCAATGTTGTGAAAAGATTGACAGAACAAGAGCTCATGCTGGAAATATATTTTATCAACTTCTTTATCTTGCGTAAGTTCCTATCCATTTTATAATACTGTCGATTTTAATTTCATTTATCTTTTGTTTGATAATAAATGTAACTTTTACAAATTTGATTTGAAAATTTTGTTTAAAGAATTGACAATATTTTATTCTCATAGTTGTCTTTCCAGAAATCCTTTTAAATAAGTATATGTATCTTTGTAGATATTTCTTTAGTTGGTTTTTTTTTTCCAGTCCTAGTGTTCCTAACATTCCTCACAAAGAATTTTTGTTGAAAGTCTTTTCTCAGTAAGTTACATATTTTGAAGTTGAACTTTTAAATTTCAACATTTTTTTTTATAGAATTTTACATCAAGAAGTAAACTGTTCCATAAATGACATGTATAATTGTAAGGAAACTATGTTTCATGGCTACCTTTTTTGCATTATGGTGGAAACAGGGATTTACTTGTCTGTGAATGTAGATATATATCTCTTTTTAACATCAGATATTGGAATGAGATGCAATCTAATTTGAAATGAAATTATTTTGAATAACAAGATAGTTATATTAGAAAGAATCATTTCTGTAAATGGAAGCCAAGACAGAGTAGTTTAGTTTAAACACTATTATATTCATTTGAAAAGGATTGATCAACAGGCAAAGCCTATAAGTTCTTTCCCAAGACAGAGTAGAGCAAAACAGAGGTTCAATTGTTTTGGATTATATTATACAAAGCATTAGACATTGTCAAAACCATTAACTACTTGTTAGAAATGGTACAATTTACCCACATTGTTTTATTTTTAGATCCAACTTTAATGCAACTGGACTAGACCAAATTAACTGGGCTGCTCCGTCTGTTACGTTTCCATTGTTTATAAAGTTACTTGAAGTACCTGTCTATACATATAGAGTATTAGTAGGTACATGTGTGAGTGTAGGTGGCCTAACAGAATCATTGGTAAGATTTAAGCCTATTTGTATTTATTAATTTGTTCTTATTTGTTGGTTGTTTTATCAAAATTAATAATAATCATGTTTGTTGTTCAGATGAATCCAGTAATCAATGTACCATATCCACATGTCATATCTAATTTCTGCTCTTCCAGACTGAACTTGTAATCTAAAATATATATCCCCAATAAATATATTCATAATAGATATTTCCCTAATAAGTATTTCCATGAATATATTCCTAATAAATATATCCATAAAAAAAATCCAGAATAGATATATCCCTAATAATAAATATTTCCCTGTTCCTCTCTTTGTCACATAAATAAGTCCCCCGCTTTGCTGCCTGTAGTTACTGCATGTGTTAAACTACATTCTTTGTTTTATTACTACTATGTTATATATTTTGGTTATTTCAGGTACAGAATTCCAGTCAGGCATTATTTCACTATATAAACTCAATTGAAAAAGATCAAAGTAAATTAAAACATTTCTGTGATACTTTGTTACAAATCTACTCTGATTATCTAAAAGTCAATAGGTGAGTACAGTAAATCGTTACTGCAGAGTCTACAGGTTGTAACTGAGTTCTGCCAAGTTGGCCATGAGAGCCAAATTAGGTATAGAGGTTAAGAATCATAACATCATACAGAAACAGCGTCATAATGACGTATTTTGAAAGATTTTCCGAAATATTTGTTAAAAGTGTAGGTATAGCCTTTTATACATCATGAAGGTATCTTTGGCCAAAACATCTAATGTCAGTCGTTGTTGTTTGTATTTTAGAGGAGAGCTGAAAAAAAGCTCCCCTTAATCAACAAATTGAAAAAAATCGCTCCCCTAAAAAATCTCTCCCAGATTTGATTAAGAAGAGTGATTTAGAAATTCAGGAGAGTGATCTGATATTAAGGAGACTGATTAGTTGTCTGTATTGGAAATGGTTCTGAAGATTAATAACTGCATGTAAAGGGGTCGGTCGACGTTCAGGTGAACGGCAGGCGCTAGCGAGAGATCGCACGCCTCAAAAAACAGTGACTGTAATGTAGAAATAAGGTGTGAAAGTTAATAATTTATAATTTTATACAGTAAAGACTTATCTCGGGAAAAGATTTACCTTTACTAACTGCTTGAATTTCATATATATCACACAGTAGGGGTCTCAACAATAATTTCAATAGATACCAAACTAACCATAAAACATTACTGGTACATTCTAAAATTTAATTTTTTCAAGGAAATAAGAAAATCTTTGCTCTTAGTATCTGTATTTATTTGGAATGCCCCATATACAACATTTTGAAACAATATCTATAATTTTAAAACTCCTTTTTAAGTTTGTATTGATATTTGGCAAACTGGGGTTTTTTTTTATTAAAATATATTATGAATTCCAGATTGAATAAAAAATTAACTTGATTTCAATTTGCAGTAGCCCAGGGACAATCCCATTTCAATCAATAGGAATTGATTACTTTGTAGGTGACAAACTGTCATATATCCTGGATTGTATTTTAAAACACCTATGTTTTAAAGATACCATCCCGTGTACAAACTGGTAATTTGATGATATATTTGGACTAAAAACATATTCAAAATAATTAACCCATCAAAAATTTGCTTCAAATCATGAGAAAATACACCAAGCTATAAAAATCTACTTTTTAGAAGCCGTATTTGTCACTTAACTTGATTGAGGGAGGGTCCATTTTTTAGAATGGTTTTGTCATTACTTACTGTCCATTTACATTACATATTGAGGCCTAAGTCAATTCTTGTATTATTTTCTGCCAACTTCTTCTTCCACCATTTAATTGCAGAGTCTGTTATATGTTTACACCCCTTAATTTTCCCAAAACCGCCTAACCATTTGATTAAGAAATAACAACAACTGATCCCTAAGTCAAGCTGGTAGACAATAAGCTGGCAGACAATACCTCGGGTTGCCAGTTAGTGATACCCTGACATTTTTGCCCACACTTATCCCATGGATGTTTCTCGGGTTATCCTGTATTTTTCTAGTTAGATTGGGCTTCTATACTTTCTATATATACCAAATTTGTAATTCTTTTATTGGAATTAACCACCCATAAATACTTTTATGGGAATGTATGTCTAACAGCACAGTAGCTAAATGGTATTCTTAAAGCTGTATATAACCATGTTATACATTTGACTGCCAAATCATTGAGGTTCTATTGCCTCAAGTTTTGTTCATGTCATAAAGAGAACAAATATGGAAAAGGACCTCACAAGAGTTAATTATCTATTTACATGTTTAGTTTGCTTTTTAAAACATGTTTATGTTTGACAGAGTATCAATACCATTATTAAAGATGACAGATCAGTTATTATCCCGTGCTTCTTTAGATAAATACCTATATTCTGAAGGGTGAGTTATCAAAATACATTTTCTTAGTTTTATCTTAAATATATTTGTCACTCTTTATGATTGAAATTATTTGTCAACAGTTATATATAGTTCTAGTATTACAAATTATTGTAAATTTATTGTAAAGGCAAGGTAATTTACCTAATAAACATTGAAATTATTGTACAACACTAATCAAGTGACCTTCTGTTGCACCCATTTTGTACCATGGTTGAACTAACTGAATCAGAATGGTACTAGCTGAACTATACGATACAGTGTGGTCAAGCTACTTTCAAGATAGTGGACAAGATCGAAACTTGAGTAAATTTGACTGAAAAGCATCATGATATTGCTGATTGTTGTACACCCAATGCATAATGAATAGTGTTGGAGTATAGGTTTTACTAAATTTGAAAAGAACAGATGGGATACTAATGAAAGCACCACCATATTTATTAGACAATGCTCCAGACATTTGCTTGTGTGACGGACCATAGTTGTGACCATAATCTACATTGAAAGGTTGCCTAAACTGTATAGGAATGAGCTGGAAAATTCACTCAACCACCCACAAGTGCCTGTACTTGAATTCACACTTTACCCCTAAATCTGTAATCATGTTAATGTTGACTGTATGTTTTATTTCAGCTGTACTATGTCTGTGTCTTTATGTGAATGTGTAAAGAGAGAAATACAAAGGTCTGCTGATCCACAGAAGTTAATGGCCAGTGCTGATGTGTAAGTCTCTTTTATTTGAATTATTAAAAAAAAAAAAACTAACTACACACATAATACCCATTAAGCCGGGCGCACATTTATTCAACAATGAACAGAGAGCAAAATTCTGTAGCTGCTAATTTTGGTATTAGTGTTGGCTATAGAAAACAGTAAACTATATTCACTGAACAAACATGTCTGTTATCATTTTGGACAATTTAAAGCAATAGTTGCACATTTTCTAAAAAAAATCAAAACGTATTAACTTCTATAACTAGTGTTTAATATGTATGTCAAATCACTATTATACAATCATAAAATAATAATACTGGACTTAAAATAATAATACTGGACATACTAGCAAATCTACCTCCATTATTTTCTAGATGTTCCATGAAATTGATAAAACTCAATGTTAATGTTTCAACTTGAAAATGATATATTTGCCAATTTATCAACTGACAATCACGAATCTTAAATTTACCGTACAGTTTGTTTTTTCTTTGACTTTATTAACGAGTAATGGTATAATGGTATGTGGTATGTGGTTTCTGTTGGGTAGTACATCATAAACAAGAAGTGTTAGCTACATAAATCTGCTTATTCTTATTGGGATCAATGTGCACCTGGCTTAAGATATTATTGACAAGATGAAAGTAAATCTAGTCATTGTTCTTACAGATTTTGTGGATTGCTTCCATTTCAAGAAGCTAGGAAGAAAGTTTTGTTTCAACTTATGGTTTTCTTATGCCACAGATATCCGAGGGTAAGGTTCATTACCTTACACATTATTTAGAAAGGAGATTTATATGAATAGATTATTATTTTTTGGATCTGTTGATCAGAGGAAGAAATAAATGAAGTCTTGGTCATCTGTATCTTATTCCAATTAAAAACAGAGACCAGAAATGGACAAAACCCAGGATAATAACAGATTTATAATATTCTTCAAGAGAGTAATTATATTTAGTTTGAAAAAACACATGAGATATTATTAATTTTAGGTTCGGAAGACTACAGCAAATAAATTATATGAAGCTTTATTAATGTATGATGATGTCATCTCAGATGAGATTATTGAAGAAGTACAAACAACACTCTGTGATACTGACTGGTTAGTATATGTATATAGCGGTGTCTGTACCTAAAACAGCGAATGGCAAATGTTAGACAAATAAGGATGATGCGACTTGATGATTGGGATACCTTTATTTCCCGCATATTTTTTATTATGCTGTAAAAATTAGAATTACCCGAAAATTCTCAAAGAAACGAAGAAAGGACATGTGCTGATAATACGAGAAGGTGTCTACTTTAAATGCCATTTAAAGACATGTTTTCTATTCATTTAATTCATTAAATATTTGCTTGTATGTGTTAATAAGTCTACGCTGATGAAAAAATAATTACAGTTTTTCAACCAAAATTAGATTTCAGGATAATTTAATCTCTGAGTTCACTCATAACTTATATATGAATGAGCAGATTCGTCTGAATTGTTGCATACTTAGTAATGCAAACATGCACAACTAAACTGCATAGTCAAATGAAAAAAAAAAAAGAAACTTTGCCGATCAGTGGCGAAAGTGTGTTTTAATAAATCTACGCTAATGAAATGATAAGTACTGACAAAAGTTATCATCCGATCTGTATGAAATTTATATGCATATTTGAATTAGTAAAACGAAAAAGCCTGTCGAATTTGAACAATTTCTGTAGATTATTTCCAGAGTTACGACCCTTGTTTTAGTTTTTAGAACCTTGTGAACCCTCAAACGACGAAAATTATAATGTCATCTGTCCCCTAATTACCTACAAAAGAATAAATATGTGACAACCCTTGTCGACTGCCGGACGATTTAGCTGCTGTGGGCGTATGTTTTGTTGCCTGGCAACCTATCTTATAAATTATTACCAGTATAAATTTTATTAGTTTATGTTATGAAAATAAAACTGTCAGGAATTGAAAGCTTAACAAAAACAACGCATTGCGAGGTCTGGTTTTATTTTGGAGGGGGGAGGGGGTGTGGCGGCGTGTTATCAGCTTAAATTTATTTAAAGACACTTTGGCTATCGCCACTGATCGGCAATGTTTCTTACAAAGTATGCAACTTCAGACGAATCTGACCATTCATATTTAAGTTATGAGAAATGAAATGGGGTTTAACGTCCTACTGTTCTGCTCCTAAACTGGGCTAATGAAGACGGGCATACACCATACAGTGTGCTATGAGGGAAATTTTGCCCGGGCAGCGGCGCCACGGCCTACTCTTATATCTAATTCCAACTGCCAAGGGATCTTTTATGTGCACACCAATATGTACACGGGACCTCACATTTTCGTCCCATCCGAACGACTAGACAGCTGTCCTTGTCAGGCCCTGCGTCCTGCATCACTGACAATTGAAACCACGCCGGAAAATCTGGATGAACTTTCTCGGCCAATGCACGGATCGAACACCCGACCTCCAGGATAGCGAGCCAGCGTCTTACCCACTTAGCCACGTGATCCCCTTAAGTTATGAGAAAACCTCAGAGATTAAATTATCTTGGAATCTATGTTTGGTTGATAAACAGTAAATAATAATTATTATTTCATCAGCGTAGACTTATTAACACATATAAACGAATATTTAATGAATTAAATGAATAGAAGACATGTATTTAAATTCTCGTATTATCAGCACATGGCATTTCTTCATTTCGTTGTGAATTTTCCAGTAGTTCTAATTTATACAGCAGAATACAAAACATGTGGCAAATAAAGGAATCCTGATCATCAAGTCGCATTATCCCTATTTGTCTGGCATTTGCCATTCACCGTTTTAGGAGAATCACAGACACTGTGTATATAGACTGGTGGTTTTTGTTTATTGTGCCAATGGACTTATGCTTATTCAGATTGTTCAAATAATGTTGATTGGCCTCACTAGATATTTTCTGATTACCACTTGAACAACATTTTGAAGTAATGTTTGCTTTTAGTTACCAAAGCAAACGTGTGAAAAAATAAAGTTGTTTAAATATAGAACGTCCAAGTGAAGACATTTTCTCTTAGACAGAACTATTATTAATGTATTGAACCGGCCATGGGTAGGCCTAACGGATAGTCGTCTTTTCAACAAAAACTTTAAACAAGTTGGTTTATGCATACTCTATTCACGACAGTAATTGTATAATTCACTAATTGCATTATGTATTCGGGATAATAATAGCTGAAACTACGATAGTGATTAAGCCCACTTATTATTGGGAAACTAATTTAACCAAAAGGTCAAATTCATTTCTTAACATTATATGAAGGCAATTATATAACTTGTAATACTGTATTATTACTAGGCACTAATATAATCCTGTATTTTATTAATACATGTATTAGTTAAGGAAGGGACATGGGAAATATTTGCTTTTGACAATATTATTTGAAATGTTTGATATTCAACTTATCCAGTTAATTATTTAAATCTGAACATTCGCTTTGGTACTGGAAGGTATTTTTAACAAGTGTTATTAAAGCCCATGAAAATCACTGAAATTGTATAATTTGCAAATTGAAACTTTAAATGTATCTCAGCAGCAATGTGACAATCTAATTTAACTGCATAGAATAATCACATCAAATCCAAACAAGCGACTAAGACTGTTGAACTAGTGCTCACACAAATATTCATCTATTTGCATCCAAATACTCCTTTTTGGGGTTTGTTATCCAATGTCAATTAATCGACTAATATTCCCCCTGCCAATATCTAGAAATCCTATGCATATTATTCTAATTAAAACTTAGAATATTGAAATAGTAGTATTAGTACAATCATCCTTTGGTGTGACCACCATCAACAAAGTGCTAATTCTTTTAAGGATAGTAAATCACTGTGACAGACGTGTCAACTAACCTGTTTATTCCTTGAGTCTCACGGATTCACTGTCTTTCTCCTGATCTCCTGGCATGATAACAAACTATTAATTATTGTTTATTTAATGTTGTTTATATTATTAGGGATTTACCTGTAGATCAGCTCCGTCCTATAAGAAATAATCTATGTGATTTGATGGGTGTCAATATACCTGTTATAAAGGTAATGTAATTTTTATATGCCTACATTTTTGTTTGGACGTATGTCACCCCTGACTGACCGGACATCCACAGTTTGTTTGTGGACACTCTAAATTTCACAATTCTTATCCAATTTTGACGAAACTTGAAATATAGGTTAATCTCCAAAAGATCTTGGTTCCTTTTGATATTGGCATGTATCAGATCGCAAATTGGATTATGGCCCGTGATATTACGAAAAGCACGTTTTTAGCTTGTGGACCCTGTAAAGGTCACAATTTTTATCCGATTTTGATGAAACTTAAAATGTATGTTTATTACCCAAAAATCTCAGTTCCTTTCAATATTCGTGCATATCAGATCCCAACTTCCTAGATTATGGCCCCTGATTATACGAAAATCACTTTTTAGCTGTGGTTCCCCTAGAGACCACAATTTTTATCGATTTAAAAATGTATTACCGTTACAACATCATGATGATTGAGTTCGAATTTCGAGACAAAATGGCCGTCCCTCATATGCAAATAGTGTAATGTATCTTTATAACCCAAAGATTTTGATTGTGGCCCCAGATTGTACTAAAATATTGCGATTTTAACTTGTGGACCCCACTATCGGTCACAATTTTTATTAGATTTTAAAAATTGTTTAAATATATCACTGTTACACCTTGATGATGATTGAGTTCAAATTTTGTAAAAATTGGACTGAAACTGACAAAATGGCTGCTCCTTGAACGAAAATAGTGTAAAAGTTTGTAATACCATGGATGTGAACCCGCTAGAGGTCACAATTTTCATCTGATTTTGATGAAACTTGAAATGCATGTTTATATCCCAAAGATCTTGGTTCCTTTCAATATTCATGCATATCGGATTGTAGCCCCTGATTGTACAAAAAATCCAATTTATAGTTGTGGGCCCTCTAGAGGTCATAATTTTTATCTGATTTTAAAAAACGTTTAAATATATAGTGTTACCCTAATGAAGGTTGAGTTCGAATTTCGTGAAAATCAGACCGAAACTGCCCGACAAAAGCATGTAATACCAAGGTTGTGGACCCTCTAGAGGTCAGTATTTTATCTGATTTTGATGAAACTTAAAATATATGTTTATATCCCAGAGATTTCCATTTCTTTTAATCTTCGCTCATATCGTACCGAAACCTCCTGGATAATGTCTTCTGACCTTACGTAAAATCAGGGTTTTTTTTTACTTGTTTTCTGTCCATCTCTTGCAAAATGTGGGCGTATCTTGTATGGCAACCACTTGTTTAGAGAATAATAAATTCTTTAAGAAATTATTTCTGTGACATATTCGAAGGTTTATTGTCCTTTAGGTTGTAGGCTTAAAAGCATACATTTCATACTAAGTCGATGCTTTATCTGTACATATTATATCATGACATATAATGTTCCAAAATATTGACATTGACCTTTATTAGACAAATATATCTTGTTGAATTAGACTACAAATTAATAGTGTCATCCCCGTATTATCTGACTAAATTTGTGTCAGAGTTTTAGCTCTTTATGCACCATTACAATATTTAAAGTTTTCGTGAATTAAGGCCCTGGTCTTTGCAGTAACAGCTGAGCAAAGATTGAGATACAAACCATTTAACAATTTCAAAATGTTAAAACACAATGTGTACAACATAGTGATCAAATAAAACAAAATTACAAATTCAAGAGTTCCCTCCCTTGGAGATTGGCTTGACCCAGGATTGTCCTCCAAGTAAATGTACATTGTGTCCGTCTTATCATTCCACAATCTAATGCAAATCCCAGAGAGCTACTTTGTAAATAGGTGGGTTGGTTGTTAAATTGGGAAGTTGGTGTAGGCCTATCTAAGGCTACAAAAAGTGGAAATTAGAATATTATGAACCAAGTAGGTCACGGAAATCTAAGCAAACATAAATGTTTCTAAGGCCTTATTTCCCAGGACTGTATACTTTTAGAAATATTTTTGGATAGAAAGATCCATTATTTAGTAGATTTGTGTATCGCAAAGGTGTTTTGTGATCATATTTTGGCTTCTTAAGTTTGTAAATGCTCTTTGTGGATCTCGCAAACTGACAACCACAAAAGTTTCTCAGACAAATCAAGACTAATTCTGGATTTTGGGTGTAGAATTATGGATTTTGGACACACTGTATCCCAATAGATATATGTAAATATTATTAACTGTAATGTATGTTATGATAAGTGCTAGTCACAAAACAACATTTTAGGACAGTATACTTTAAATAATTGGCTACTTAATGTCACTAATCTTCATGCTATGATAACCCATACCAAAAAATATTCCGCAGTTGTTATTTATAAATAGACACTTTTGTTTTCGTTTTTTTGTAGGGTCAGACAGCTGGTACTTCCTGAAATCATCAAGATGAAAACTTTATCTTCTATTATAAGTCAATAAATTGTGATTGCATTTTCAGTAACTATAAGACAAATATTACAATATTTATGTCGTAAGCCTGGAAATATCAACATTCAATTCTTATTTATAAACTTTTATCTGCCTTTAAAAATGCACATTATTTTTAGAATGAGCTGATAAAGAGGGCATAGGGTTGTTTTAGAGTTGGCTATTCAAATACTCAGGCAACCAGTGGTTTAAGTACAACTAGAGTTAATTCACATCATGAATTCCATGAAGCTTTATAACCCAATGTGCTGTTTAATATATTACACTTTAAATTGTGTAGAATTATGTGATGCATATTAAAAGTGCTATAAAAATAAACTTTGCTTTTGTAGAGTTTTTCACTCTATTTATTTATGTACAATAAAACAAACAAACATAACTGATTGTTTCATTTTGTTAAGCCTACAGGCGTTGTAATAATAATATGAGAATAAAAAGCCACCCATCTTGTTCCAGTGGTGAATTAGTGACTCACTAGCTAGTATCTTCCAGTAGTCAGCCAGTCACAGAAGTTAAGGCCTGATGATTACTGTTCTTTTAAGAATGGTGCCACATTTTATTCAAAATTTAAATACATCTCTAAGACATTATATTAATTCCTCTGAATTTCTGGCATAGCTTCCCTTTGGCAATGGTGCTGGACATAGGCCTGGCAAGAAGCAGCATCTTCGTATGGACAAGGTTCTGTGTACAACAAAATTTCCTCATAGCCCGTCTTCATCATCTCAGTTGGAGCAGAATAGTAACACCTTAAACTCTTTTTAATACACCTCTTCTACGATTAAAGTAATCTATCATTAGATTTCTAGCGGTAAAATCGTGTATAAAGAAGGAATTAAATTTCCTTACCAAAGTTTTGTTTGAAAACCAGGTGGTCCAAGTTTACCAAGAATTCCGGAATTGTTAATATGGAACATTTCCCTCATATTCTTAATTATTACTGGACCTTGTGCACAAACTACGGTACGCGGCCGTCGAACATCCCTTTGGTTGCAGTCCAGATAGTCCCACCGTAACCTTTTGCTCCACTTTCTTCGTCCGTCAATACATTTTGTTATGTTTTCAGACCACATCTATCAACTATGAAGTGAATTACGGTTTATCAGTTCGCCCAAGCAGTTAGTGATGGATTTCGGTTACATTTTCATATTGGAGTGCTCGAATATTACCGAACAGAACACCTATTAAGCAGAATATACGGAAATGATTTGTTAATTTTCGGGGAACCACTTGCTTCATTAATGCGACAGTCATTAAAAATAAAGGAATAAATTGAACAGAAAGTGTAGCACCATGGGTCTTTTGTCAGACGTGGAAAGCGGCCCACATACTAATACCGGTCGCCACATACGGCGTATGACCCATGCATCTTTTCTTACTACATATAGTAGCCTTGTGATCGTCTAGTATTTTTACTTGTTATCTTTGGCTTCCCCTTCACGTTGTGTATTCTCTTCTTCTTATCTAAATAGTTAAGACGTTTGTCTTCCCAGTAGTTAAGAAGTTTGTCTTACAGGGAATAACAATGCATCAGTTCGTTTTTACATTTTATATATCATAGCTGGATACATAGATACAGGCATATTAGATTACAATACTAAAGTCATTCTCTCAAACCCCATCCAGCCAGACTCGCCGCAACGAGTCTGCTGATAGATATTGCTACACCTTTTCCCTTCTAGGATTAAGCTGCTGTCTGACAATTGCTCACAAATATGATAGTTTTGTAGCTTATAAAGATTGGTTAATTAAGCCGAATGATGCAATCGTAATTTTCCGAGCAAGTGTTAAACATGTTATTCTCATTCCCTCGGAACCAGCTAATTTTTACCCAATTATATTCTTTTTTATATAACAGTCTGTCACTTATTCACACGTCATTTAGGTACATATTAGACAATATGTTTGAATCCCACAACTCGCCAAAGACATTAATTAATACAATATAATACCATCATTAATTTCAAGATCAAAAATTCTAGCAATATTGCTTTGGAACAGTGTATAATCTAATATTGACTCTACTCTTGTCAAAATGTAATCTGTGAGAAATTTCCCAATAACTTTAAAGATTTGAAAAAAAAAATATGACAAGAAACAGGGCCTCGTATTTCTGTCTCGACCCTTGCTGTCATCCACCACAACAGCCAGGGAAAAAGTCCGACACATTACATACCACAAAACTGCGATAAATACCAGTTTACTAGACATACGGTTGTTATGATAATAGAGTAAGAGTCGAGACGCAGGTGGTGAGAAATATTCTTCAAACTTATCAAGCAAGATGAGCACCATAATATAGAGTGATTTATATAGCAACTGAAGTTAATCTTACGCATTAAACTGGGTGCCATTCTCTTGCCAATCGGACAAAAAAGCAAGTCTATCAGTTTTTCCGGAAAAGCTCTATCATGATTAGTGTCATAATCAAGAGACAGAAGTCCACTCGGAACGGATGAAGGAGGATGAAAGAAGATGACAACCAACTCGATAGATACTAACTAAATATGACAGTAAAATGTGATTAGCAAGAGACTAATGTTTATCGCTTGCGGCATTTGGAAAATAACGGATAATGAGGTAGAACCATACATATTTTGTTGTACATATTCTAATAGGCTATTGTCTAGTCGCTTGGCGTTTAACGTCTTAGTTTTCCACACCAACCGGACTAAAGGAGACCGGCATAGGCCATAAGGGGAAATATTGCCCGGACTACGGCATAATCGCTACTCTTCTTTGAATTCAAACTGCTAATGACTATTTTACGTGCACTACAATGCGTGCACGTGACCTCGGTTTTTTTCGCCCCACCCGAGCGACTAGACGGCCTTCTGCCTTGCATCATTAGTGTGGTTGGAGTGCGGAATTACCCGGAATTAAGTGTAGAGAAGATGGTTTTTGGTTGTTATGATCTATTGGAGTTTCCTATCTTTATCACTTGGGGAAACGTTTTGGCGCCATTTTGAATTGTTGCCTCGCCCAATCACGTTCGAAAGCACTGATTCCTAAATAACGTGTGAATATTGACCTCTATGGTGTCTACCCATTGGAAATCGATACTACAGATTTAAAAAAATCCCATCAACTTTATGCTAAGTCGTCACTATGACGTGAAATTCAAAATGGCGTCCAAGATGGCCACCATTCCATATAACTGACCATAATGCCCTTATTATTCATGTTAAAGGAACAAGTTTGGTGTCTACACTGATTATCTTCTGTTCAAATGGAAAATTATATTTGCATCATTAGCGTGGTTGGAGTGCGGAATTTCCCGGAATTAAGTGTAGAGAAGATGGTTTTTGGTTGTTATGATCTATTGAAGTTTCCCATCTTTATCCCTTGGGGAAACGTTTTGGCGCCATTTTGAATGGTTGCCTCGCCCAATCACGTTCGAAAGCACTGATTCCTAAATAACGTGTGAATATTGACCTCTATGGTGTTAAAGGAACAAGTTTGGTGTCTACACTGATTATCTTCTGTTCAAATAGAAAATTATATTTTAACAGGAACCTCAGTGAGTAAGGCGCTCGCTCACTAACCAGGGGAACTTGTCAATTGGTGCAGGACGGGGGATAGTAAGGAACAACGGCGTCTAGTCTTTCCGATGGGACATAAATCCGAGGTCCCGTATACACCTTTGCCTGGATGTAAAAGAAAAAGCTTTGACAGATGGAATTCAATTGCTGTCTGGACAAATTTTCCTTCATAGCACACTGTAGGTCATATGCCCATCAACATTAGTCCTGTGGGAGCAGAAAAGAAGGACGTTAAACCCCATTTCATTCATTTTATTCTAACGTTCACAAAATAACAAACAAAATCACTGGGATTCAAACCCGGGCCAATCTTGTTCAATAAGATGACAGAAAATATTACAATACACTCTACAGTCCTTTACACGGCGAATATATTCAATATGGTATGAAATTGCAACATGTAAATCTGTCGTTATACATAGTGTAAATTGCTGAAAGATTGAAACAAGTTATACAAATCAATATGCTGTTGTAATTGTTGAAATCAAATAACAATATTATTATCTCAATCATTATACTTACCTGATTCACATGTACTAATATGTCAATACAAGCTATATCAAGACATAATGTTAATATGATATATAGACTCAATATATAGGTATTCTAATATATGTTCTAGGGATCCAATTTTGTAAATTACAACCCTACCAATTGAATATTTGGATTTAGATAGTAAAACAATGTAGGGTCGACGCCGAGCTGATTTACCGTTCCGCGTTGTACAGGAGCTCCGGAAATGTAGGGTCGCCAGCTATTCGAAAGGTTTGTTTAAATACCACTGTAATTTGAGTTCAGAAAGCCAATGCTTCTTGTTCACTAATCATCTCGGCAGACTTAACTGGTTGACTTAATGCCACAATTTCACACACATAAATGTTAAATTACTGCACAAATTGTATATATCTATAGTGCATATACATATTATCATCTGCTCGGAAAAAGGTGTATACGAAGGCTGTTATATCTACTGTGCAATGTCCAAATACGAAAGGTATCATGTTACATATTAGTGAAAATCACATTCATTTCTATTTGTAAATATGTAAATAGTTTTCTGGTACAATCGTATTTTTATAATTTAAATTCAATAAATATCACACTATTAAAGGGGTATTCAAGTAAAAATACTGGTCTAAATACGAAATTCCAGATACCATGTTAAGTATCACTGATTGCTCTTTTCAAATATGCAAATAATTTTCTGGCACATTCATATTTGCTTAACTTTACAAAATAAGATTAAAGTTGAAGTGAAGGAAGGGGGGGGGGGCACTAAACTAAACTAAAATAAAGATACAGGGCTTAAATAAAAACTCTCTATGTCCATACTAAAAGATATATAGTCATTCCTCTCTTTAAATATATTATTTATTTGTTGGGCACAATGCTAATATATTGTTGGTTTTTTAATGGATCAAAGTAGGCTACTCAACTCTGTTTATAGAGAGACCGGAAAGAGTGGGGGGTGTTTAAAATATAAAAATACGGGTATTAATACGAAATTCCAGTTATTGTGTTATAAATTACTGGAAAGTATGTTTTTTTGGGCTGCTTGAATCTATCAATTATTTCCTGCCACATTCAAAATTACGCACGGTCGTCTAGATAGTTTCTTATGGTGTGCCAGCTTGATTTCTTTTGAAGTGCTGTGAATATCCTTAAAGTGTGCTTGTGCCGGGTTTCCATATATGTTAATAAGTCACGTGATATCCTGCATTTGCATATGCAGGTTGATGCTGTGCGAAAGTTGCTATGTAGAAAGCGTGAAGGACAAATGGGATGTGGCAGAGCGCAAATGTAAAATGTAATGAGAGAAATGTAAAATGTAGACACGTCAAAAAAACCATTTTCCCACAAAACATTTGTCATTTAACACTTAACATTTGACGTTTTACATTTAACTCTTGCCTTAGAGGTATTTTGACTTTATCAATATCGGTATTATGACTTTGTACATTGTACTTTTTACATAATCAATGGAAACGACATTGTCGCAGAGCATTTAATATTGGCAGCGATACCCTTCCATAGATCAAGAACCATAACTCTCACAGTCAATCGGAAATCGTTGAAAATCATAAGCTTTTTCGTCTCACGATAACTTGAGACTATAGAGTGACTACAAGGTTTTTCAAACTGACCAAGGGTGATAACCCAGATAGTAATTATCGGAAATCGTTGAAAATAGGATTATCCACCTCATAAGCATAAACACGGTATATAAATTTCAAGTCAGTCATATTATGGGGTCACGACAATATACGACCACATTAAATTCATTAAATGCGTTGCCACTTTCAGTAGTGTAATATAGCGTATAACAGATTGTATCAAAACAAACAGAAAAAAGAATAAAAAATTAATTTTTATAGAAATTGTATAAAATATGTAAAACAAGATGAAAACATTTTTTAAAACTAATACAGATACATGTAGATAGAAACAAAGAAACAGTAGTCCAAATATAATATATGAAAAGCTATCGACCATATATAAAAACAATAGATATACATTGTCCGTCAATTTTACAGCACCCCTGAGAATACTTCCTGCTCCCCTCGTTGCTCTGGACGTAGTCGAAATGAGAGGGAACCACTGGCCTTCAGTGGTATGAATTGGTGCATACATACATATAGGTACTGTAAATTAAATATACACAGATTTAATGTCAAAGCAAGCCTTGGTAGAATTTAACAGGGTGGTAAATGCGTATCAAACTGCATATAATCATAACGGAATACTTTTAGCATTACTCTATTTAATAGACCAATGATTTTTGCCAAGAATTATTAAATAGTCTAAGTAACAGCTCACTTGACTTGCTAACAATACAACAATGGTCAATCACATATACCAGCCACGTGGGAAATACCCAATACGATAAATGATTCAATGCGAAGCTTTCTATTCTACAAGGAGAAAGGTAGAGCTACAGTATACAGCGATCAATTTCTGCCACAGATGTATGAAGTGGTCCCATACCATAGCCACTATGTAACAAACGCTTGCTTTCATTTCCTAACATGGATCTAGATACAACATAAGTTGGGATGGCGATGGGGTGTGTCACGATCCCTGACACAAAAGTTTCTCACAAAGGATATGAAATGTTTAAAAGGGGTAGATTAAACAATGGGAGTATTGTTTTGATATTATATGTGTTTATCATCAATTTTTGTATTGATATTTGTGTTTGTGATTCAATTCGTATTGGATATATGACCGGATCCCAACAATCAACGGAAAACAATAGCAAAATATATAAGAGACCCGGGCAAGCCATTTCTGGTGCCCTTACATACGCAATAGCAGAGATTAATAATGATCCTTACATTTTACCAAATCATTCCCTCGATTTTATTATTGCCGAAACATATGGCAAAGAAAGTGAAAGTATTAAAGAAACGGTTTTATTATTACATAAAAATATAAGTGTGTATATAGGACCACAGGAAACATGTATCCACGAAGGACGAATAGCTGCTTCTTTTAACCTTCCTATGATATCTTATGTAAGTATCTTATTATATATACGTAATATTATTGCAAAAACTCATTAGTACAGCTTTTCTCAAATTGTTTGCACGATCTCTTATCCAAACTTCCCCATTGAAAGTAATAATAAAAGATTTTATCACCAAGGTTCGTTAGATTGTTTATCATATTTATGGCACCACTCTATCTTTTAATTGCGAGTTTCATATATTTATAAGATCTTATAATATAGCTCTACTCTGAGAATGTGGATATCTGATGTTTGCTACCATTTTGTGAAAATGTCAAAACTCTAAAAACTTCACAATATTTATAACTGGTACTGCTTTGTTATTATGTAAAATTTTTGCAAAGTATCAAAATATTTATATGTTTTCGAACATTCAAATCAGTATGTAATGTAAATCTATTTCAAATAGAAACTTCTATGTTTGATGTTAGTTAGTCGAAATGTCATACTTATGGAAAAAAAAGTCAAATATTTTATCAACTATTCGACATAAGAGTTTCTTATCAAAGGACCACCTCTTAGGGCGAGGGAATTGAATTAGTAGAAGTAATCGAATCAAGAATAATGAGTACGTTTTGATTTTCTTTTTATTGTAAAGATCGTTCGTGTTGCGTCCGTGTTTATTACCTCAGCAGGTAGCGTGCGCCGGGATAGTTCTATTGTAACGACGTCAGTATTTCTGTGTTAAAGACACTATTCTGGTTGTTGTTATTGATAATGTGTCATGGATCAATTGAGTTTCTTGTCTTATGTTCTATCAGTAACAGGTGGCCTGGTCTTAGTTTTATAACCAATTTAATATCTCATTATTATAGAAGAGATTTTCAGTAGCTATTTCATTCATATTTCAGTTTATCCCTTTTATGTATATAAGGGTTTCAGTTAATGACTTTCTGTATTTTATATCGTTTCTAAGATTGGGGCAAACGATACTTCTTTGTTTTGTTAAAACAGCAGAATACCTATGGTATAGTACCTCAGCAATGTCTCCACAACTTAGGGAGTGTGGACGGAACCGATTTCAGTTTGGGTGTTTTCCAACACACACGTTGGTACTTAAGACCTTCCAAAGCCATCTGCTCACGATACTAACTCGTATGGGGTCATAGTTTTGGTTCAGTATTATCTGGTCTCTTTTCACCATGGTAGCATCATCACCCTGATCCCATTATTTTCTTTTGTCAATTGGTAGTTTGGGATTTTTAGTAACTGAATAAAATGGACCACATTTTCTATATATTTAACCAAATTCTATTTAGCTTGTTTTCAATCTGATATAACAAATAGGAATATTGGTTTTATTTATCCTACCTAGTTCCTGTGGGATACCAAATTTAACTGTGAATTACCATTATACGTCCTAGATGACTAATAACAACATGTATTACGTAGTTTCAACACATTCTATTTTAGATATCGAATCGCCCCCCGCCGTAAAATTCCTGTTACAAATGTAATAACCAATTGAACTTTCTCTTTCATATCAATGAAATCTTTCATTCTTTATGTGTATACCCATTATGAAATACGTTACACGGAAATTATTAATCGAGCAATATGTATTAAGCAATTTAATTCAAATCTCAGCGCACAGTATGTTATTGCATATACAGACACATATTTTATATATGAACGATAATTGTGAACGACACAGGAAATAATCGAAATAAATAGATTTTGTAATGAGATTAAATCAACCGCGTAGAGAAAGCATCAATTAATGTGTTTATTGATATTTTCAAAACGGTCAAATATCTTTTATTTATCATTATACTGAAGCTATGTTAATTGACAATATATCGTGACAGTGTCCGACACACGGAGAAGGAAAACAAACACCGAAAACCCCTCAAACATTCTAAGCCACAAAACATAAAAATCTAGTGAATAGATCTTCCGGCCTGCTGTATGTCTTCAGTACATAATCCGGATATGTCCTATAAAAAATTATACGCATATTCCAACGAATGGTCCGCTGATGTTCGAGTAAACCTTGCATTGATTTAGTATGACATGAATGGTCTTTGAAATAGAAGAATTTATTAGAACCTCGAGTAATTTTGTCAATTTATAAACGACAATCGTTCACATCATAACGAAAATACTAAATCTGACACCAGGGATGTGTTTCCTAAGAATCGAACTGAGTGTTAAAATCGCCGTTAAATCACCCAGAATTATCAACTATCTGAATGCAAGACACAAATGAGTTTGTACAAATAACACAGAACGCCCCTATCCATCCCGGATTACACGTTGGCACTAATTATACATTGATGATGTTAAAATTCTTCTTAGTGCATAATTTACTGTTTAGCTTTTACAGTTTTCATTTTCTGTAATGAGCTACTTCAAAACTGGATACAGATTTATTTTTTTATCAGCGCCCTTGATGAAACATAATGAACGGTATAATTCTCCCTGTGTGTTATATAGAATTAGGTTTCAGAGAAATGTTTCTAATGTTCATATAATTGATGACAAGCTAACGACATTGACATTTAAGACAGACAAAAATATAGCAATCACACACCCAGCTGAGTTTCACATAATAATACACTACATTATGTTCACTTTATATACTAGAATATATTATTTTCATTCTCAGTTTTTTTCATAATTGTTTAAATTATATTTTTTTGAAATCGATATCATACAGTTATTTTTAGAATCAAGGGACTGATATGTTCATAACATTTTCTTTTTTGTGTAATATATTATGTAGAACTTTGTCAGAATTTGATCTACTTACTTCTTTGATATATAGTACTAAAGGATAATAACAAACGCGGTTGTTTTTTTTCATTTGGATTATAAAAATACAGGAACATTATAATTCTATGATAATATAATAACTATTAGGTATTTGACATAGGCATTGGCCGAGAAAGTTCATCCAGATTTTCCGGCGTGGTTCCCCCTTGTCAGTGATGCAGGTCGGAGGGCCTGACAAGGACAGCTGTCTAGTCCTTCGGATGAGACGAAAAACCGAGGTCCCGTGTATACATTGGAATGCACGTAAAAGATCCCTTGGCAGTTGGACTTCGATATAAGAGTAGGCGATAGTGCCGCTGCCCGGGCAAAATTTCCCTCATAGCACACTGTATGGCGTATGCCCGTCTTCATTAGCCCAGCATAGGACCAGAACAGTAGGACGTTAAACCCCATTTCATTTCATTTCATATTTGACATAGGAGTTTGGTTGTAGTTATAATCACGTCCGTTTCCATTAGCACAAGCTACTAGAGCTTGACTGTCGATGGTATTTAACCGAGATATTAATTTTTACCAAACCAAACTTATACATAAGTAATTAATTATAATCGTACAATATTAAATACATGTATATAACTGGGCTTAAAATAATTGAACAATAGTAAAATTGATTAAGGATCAACGGATTATCTATAACTTGACTAGAAGATATGACAGAACAGATGAATATAATTATTATGTATGGCACACCTTTGCCTATTAAACGTTTTACATGTCTTTACGAATGTGGGACGTTTCGGTCATAGAAGATTTTAATCCTAAGGGCCGAAACTTCCAGCCACCCTTCTTTATATAGTTATACGACACGAGGTTCGACGACATAGATATCAAACAGTTACTTTTAGTGATAAGTGAGGTATGATGTTTTTTCTTAATTGTGTAGTATAGGTACGAGGGTTCTAAGCTCGAAAAGAATAGATTAATTGCGTTGAAACAAGTTTTTGCCATCAACAAGTACAATCATTGAATGAATCATCGACATAAGAACTGCAACATGTAGAGTTATTATTGTCTTACTACCAAATCGTCTTGTGAACCTATCTATTGGAATCACCATAGAGATGGACAAAACTGGCTATATGACAGTCATCAAGTACCCCAAAGTCTCCACTTTAAGGGATGATGCTATCTATTTTCCACAGTAAATAAATGGGCGGTGGAATTTCATCGTGGCAGGTAGAACCTTGGCGATGACCCTCGTCCTGGAAGGCCACCAACAGCAACCATCCACGAAAACATTACCCGGGTGCATGACATGGTGATTGTTCACTCGACATATTGCCACTGTTGTGGGCACCCCTTATGAGAGAGTTGAGCAGCACATTATCGCCAACGAGTTAGGAATGACAAAAGTTTCTGAAAGATGGATGCCAAAGCTCGTTATTTCTGATCAGAAACGTGTCAGATTCCTGAGGCCCCGTGACAATCTGCGCCGTTTTGAAGTAGATCCTGATAATCTTTGGCCTGATTTATAACGATCGATGAGACCTGTTTCCAAAAATGTAACAGTAACTAGTCGGTCGTCATTTTCTAGTTATGATGATGTCAAGTCAGCTGTGAACGACTTTTTTAGAGTGGCTGACGAAAACTTCTTCCTTGGCAAAAGACTGTGTACACCTCGAAGGGGACTTTGTAGAAAAAAAATGGAAGCCATCGACTTTGTACAGATCTTTCACAGATAGACTTAGAACTTTTTAGCCAACCCTCGTATTCACTGCTTTGTGACGAAAGTTTCTTCTATAGGAGTTTTTAATCCCAGCGCTGGCCAAAATGTACGTCCGCCCTTCTTTATACGTCGTTTCGATTGTGAAACGATCCATATAACGAACGGGGCAATTTTAGCATTAGACGACCAAATTATCATAGCCCTAACCCTTGTTTTATGCAATAAGGTAATGTTTTGCGGACTGATCATCGTATCTTGAATAATATTCTATAAAATATGTAAATTTGGAAGAGTCTAGCATAACTGCAGAGAGGCTGCACCTCAAGTCGAATAATCCTGAAAATTATCTTGTGCAGGAAGCATTTAAAAAATAAACTGAATCAGTTAATACATGTTGCAAAATGATATACCTAAGAGGATTTCCAAGCAATCTGTTCGTGTACAACGGGAAAATGTGAACAAAATAAAGAAAAGCGGAAATGAAATGAAATGGGGTTAAACGTCCTACTTTTCTGCTCCGACTGGGCTAATGAAGATGGGCATTCGCCATACAATGTGCTACGTTG